TTGGTATGGTACAATTTTTTGCAAATCTATCTGCATCGACTTTTAACACCCATCTGGTAAACTTTGCACCCAACTTTGCTCCCTACACTTGAAAAGGAAAGTGAACTATATTGAATTTTTAGTCTCCTTGAAAAGAAATGGGAAAAAAAATGTTAAAAGCTTGAACAACGGAGACAGACATTTGTCTTTTTGAGCAGGACTTTATTTTCTTTCTGTGCTCTATGTCTGGACTCAATTTCTTTACTTAGATTGAAACTGTACACTCGGATTTCTTTGTCAAATAAGAATGCAATTGAGAGTGCAAGATTCAAAGGAAATATGAATTAGTCTGACATTTTTAAATTAAAAATGTAAAAGCTTATAACAAACACCAACCCATTCATCTGCAGGTAAATCTAGGTCCTTTATTACTTATATTATGAAAAGTGCAGCTTTATACTAAAATGTCTGTATAAGACTAAAAAAAGGTGAAAACCTCCAAGAGCAACTGTTTGTTCTCACCTGCACTTCAGGTTTGTTTTCCACATGCCAGCAGACTGAAACAGCACAGTGGGACCCTGACTTACAGAAGGCCCATATGTCAACCCAGCAGGCAGATTTTAATCTATGTCCCTTTGTCTACAGTGTGTGTATATATGTGTGTGTGTGTGTGTGTGTGTGTGTGTGTGTCTGCCTGTTACCTTGGCATCCAAACTCTGCAGGTAGGAACAAATGTGCTGCACGCGGGCTCCCAATGGGTGGACGTTCAGGGAGGATGAAATGTTCCCTGAGGTTGAATAAACGGGTCACTGAAACATCAAATACGAAAACATTCCTGTTACATGATATAAGTCAAGCTTTCACATTTCTGACTCTGAGATACAACAGGATATCCAAGAAATCACTTTTTATTCTTCTCTCTTCTCAGGTGTAACTGAAAAAAATCAAGGCTGCCTCAAGTGTCTCTTCTCAGACTCTTGTCATCGTTAAGAGGATCTGAACAAAGCCGTGAAAAAGTGAAATCCTCCCTCCACCAGCTCAACCAAACAAGCTGCTTTTGATTTCCTTCTTGAGGCAACAGGGAGATCATCCTCTGACTTTTGCCAAGAGGACGAAGAGGCAGTTAAAAGATTGAAAAACATCTTTGTAATCAGTAATGGATCTAAAAGATGATACGGACCACAAATTAAACTGAGAAGAAAGGTGGTCCGAAATTTTAGAGACCTCAGGCGAGTCCATCAACTGCAGAGGGGTGATGCAGCTCAAGGAAGAACATTTATGATCATTACTTTATCATTTCCTTGAAGCGATAATCATCATTTTAATCATTTTGCACTGCAGACGCGGTAGTTCTTCTGCTTTAGCGTCTCGGTCTGATTGTATTTCCATAAAGAAATGATCCTTAAAGTTCTTCCTTGCAGTTGATGGACTCGCCTGAGGTCTCGCTACAAACAAGCGGCTGCTGGAAGAGAGTGGGTGAGTTGTGTTTAGTCTCTTTGCGAAAGAAATTAGGCAAAGCTAAAAAGATGTTTGTTGGCTAGTACTATGGCTAGGACCCTATATGTACTGTTGATGAAGTTAGGTGCTGTTCTGAGCATTATTTGTGGCTATAGAGTGGCGTTTTGGTTGAGCGCGTGGCTCTCTGTATTGCTATTGTGCGTCTGTATTGCAGTGCGTTTGACCATAACTTAATTTCACGCCGGAATATCCCTTTAAAAGCAAAGGAAGGTGATGCATCTGAATACAGTCACACAATGCATTCCTATTTAAAGCAAATAAACTCAAAATTGATCTACAAAAACAGAAGGACAATATCTGTGGCAAAAGATGAAAAGACTGAAAGAATAAAGCTGCCAATTAGGCATGAGACAGAGGGACAGAAAAGAAGCGGGAAGAAGTGCCAACTTTGCTCACGATCAAGCTGTTGTTTACTCTGAGTCTGTGACAGCCTCACAAACACAAACACACACAAACACACACAAGTGAGGGCTGAGGAGGGAAAAAATGTGGGTGTAGACGATGATTATATGTGCATCTTTTAAAATGATATTTGAAAGCAAATGTGGCCAAGTCTAATTAGGACTCGTGGATCTTCATGTGAGAGTGCCTGCATGCATTTCACTGTGCACATTTACTGTACTTTAGGGCCTTCGAGCTCTAACCCAGTTATGTCGAGGTGATTCATTCAGTGACAAGTGCAGCCCCTGTGAGGATTGGCTCTGTAATGATATGCCATGTCAGGGAAGGAGTGAAGAGAGAAAAGAAAAAGGAGGAGAAGTAAGTTTTAAAACATTAAGTGTGAAGAGTCGGGGTCTCCTATTTTCCTCCTCCCACATTGACTTGATTCTCTCTCTCTCTGTTTGCTCCCTCTGTCATCCTGCTTTAACGTCTCCAGCTCGGGTCAATTAAAAAAATGAGAGGAAACGTCAATGAGAGACAAGTCGGTCACTAATGCAATCAGACACACTGAAAGCCTCTCTCTACATCACCCTCTGATTTTGACATGAGCACATAAACATGAACTGACTCTGGTGGGTCAAAGAGGGATGTTTCTGCTCCGACTTTTCGAGACAAAGTCAGACCAAGAAAAGTCAAAAAGTCCATTTGGTTAAACATCACCAGATAGAGCCAAAATAACCCAACAAGTCTCTGATTTGTTTCATCTAAATTACATCTTTAGTCTCTCATAGATTACCCTCCGGTATGTTTGAAAGGGAAATGCTGTAATGGATGACTCAGCAGTGTAAAGATTAAAGCAGCTTCTCTTTCTGGAGGCGGTGACAACATGACAACAGTGCTGACAGGTGTGTGATAAAGGCAACATCCTGAGAGAGGATCCCGGAGACTGTGGGACTGATCTGATCTCTGCATTATTTAACATACACAGTGTTATTAAGTATTGCAGCAGCAGCAGTACTCTCCCACAGTGAGTGAATGTCTGTATGGTTTAATTTACCGTACACTGTAAACACAGACCCGTCTTCTTATATTGTATAAGAGCAGCTGATGCCCTTTAACATGTGCTTATATAATATAATATCTTTGTGCATTTAGAAGGTAATGTTTTTTTCTATACACTGTATGCCAAAGCTTGATAAACACATATAACCTGCACTATAACATCATAATAAAGTCGACTACATGTCACCTTGAATACAGTGGTTACAGCGATTACCTGCAGGCTGTAAATCCAGGTCACTTAGATTGAAAAGTGAGCCTGCCTTGTCAGGTTTTCTGCCTGCTCCCCTCGGACTCATTAATTCCTGAGCCCACTTGATTCTTGACCCTGTTTGAGGAATATTTACGGGTATTTTTTGACTCACATGCACCGACCAAAGGACATTGTAATTCTGTAGATGTACGTGATGTTCTCTTCGATTATAATCTAACCGGTGACAATTTATTTGACGCCTATCTCTATAACACATTATGAATATATTTATAATGCGTTATAATCATGTTATAGCACTGTATAACTAGTTATTAACACTCATAAATGATCATAATGCTTTATAGCAATCATCATTACACATTACAAAGCATTTTATCATGACTTACAAGGTTTAATAAAGTATCATAATGTGTTATAACTGTTAACAACAGTTGCATTGCATTATCTATGCGGGCATCGTCAGTGAGTTTTTAACAGTTATAACATTATAATACCTCACCTTGTAAGTCATGATAAAGTGCGTTAACACTTAACTTGACGCATGATAAATATATTTATAATGTGTTATAATCATGTTATAGCACTGTATTACTATAGTTATAAACACTCATAAATGATCATAATGCTTAATAGCAATAATCATAAGATGTTATAAAGCATTTTATCATTACTTACAAGGTCAGGTAATGTAATGTATAATAATACCTATGCCCACATAGATATTGTATTATACATATATGTATGATGTGTTATAATTTGCTCATAAACTTGCATAACTATCATTATAAACACTCATAAATTATCATGAGGCTTTATAACAATAAGCATAACACGTTTTAATTATTGCTATAAAGCATCCTGATAATTTATGAGTGTTTATAACTATAGTTATACAAGTTTATGAGCAAATTATAACACATCATACATATATGTATAATACAATATATATGTGTGTATTGTCAGAGAGTTGTTAACAGTTATAACACATAGTAATACCTGACCTTGTAAGTCATGATAAAATGTTTTATAATGTGTTATGATTATTGCTATAAAGCATTATGATCATTTATGAGTGTTGACTTATACAGTGCTATAACGTAAGTATAACGCATTATTCATGTACTTATAATGCATTATAGAGATAGGCATCAAGTAAAGTGTTACCTAAAATGCTTTATATTGTGTTTAGATTATTGCTATAAAGCAATATGGTCATTCATAAGTGTTTATAACTATAGTTTTACGGTGCTATAACATGTTTATAATGCATTATACATATATTTATAATGTGTTACAGAGATAGGCGTCAAATAAAGGGTTACCATCTAACTTGTTAATTATTATAGAAGAACTGCGCCTTTGTTGTATAGCAACTGCTCCATGATTTTTATTCAGCTGAGGTTAACCACAGCCAAGTCAACCTAGACTAAAATCTTAAGGGTTTTAACCTTCAGCTGTGACCTCAATCTTTACTCTAGTGAGTCCAAAAGGTGAATTTCTGGTTGAGAAAAATCCAGACTCCTCACACCCACCCATAAGCACCTTTTTATAAACCGCTGCTGAATAATTCCTGAGCTCCAGCGGTGCTTTGCAGAGTCAGGAGAGGAGAAAAATGAGCCCCTCTCTGCAGACAGAGAGGGATTCAGCTGGTCAGTAAGGCAGACCTGCACATAATGAGCCCCTCTGCAGGTTTGGGACCTCATTCACAGCCAGCATTAAAAATATGTTTCCTGTACATGCTACCTAGATAATGACAAATGACCCATTTACAAGCTGTTATTTTAACATTATTCATTTTTAAAGTCTGCGCTCTGTCTGCATGTCTTGGTGATTTATGTTTGGTGCAATTTGCAGTACAGGTTAGTAGACAGGTGGCTGAAAAATAGCACAGTGTAAGTAATGGGTTCTGGTGCTATTACAGCAGTGCAGAGGGGGAACAAGCTATGTCCTCATTATGATGAAATTTCCAGGATCTGAGAGGCAATACAACAACAAAAAAAGTTTATTTACAGTCCAAAACTCAAACTCTGCTGCACTTTTAAAGTTATTTGGGTATATGGGAAATAACAGATCAGGAGAAAATGCAAACAAATACCTTGATACTGGTCTAAGCTGTCGTCTACTTGCTAGCTACGAGGCATCCATGGAAACTTGAAACCAGAAATCAGACCTTATATGAGATTGGGCAATATTTCCTTATCAATAACCCAATCATTTACTTTTACTGCGGTCACTCCTGGCTGCCTCCCAAGTCATCTCATCATGCAGGGAAACAGAAAATCAAATTCAGAGCTTATAGCACATTAATGTTTGCTTGATGCAGATAAGACGGGTTGTAAATTAGGAGGCTTTAGTGGGATGTACTGTACATTTCAGAGGATTCAATTCACAATAGAGGAGCCTGATGAATGAAAAAGGTAATCTGGTTCAAGTCTAGTGGGAAGAGGTAGTTAATTTCCAGATGTGTCATTGGATGAAAGCTCAAATGAAGGACACTGATTTAGAGGTTATGACACAATGGCTGCAGAACTAGAGTGAAGAAGACGGGGTTAGTTGGAGAAACATCCCTCCCTTAAAAAAAAAACACATTTTCTCAGTTACCTATGAGGGAAAATATCTGCAGGCTGAGCTAACAGCAGGTGATCAGAGAAGTGAAATGCCGCCTGAGGATGTGTTTTCTTTTTTAAGTAGGACCACAAACTTTTCCTGAGGGGAAGTTGAATATCATTTAAAGATGTTTTTCTGTACTTTTAACCACTGAAAGGGACTAAATGTTGAATCTAAACTTTGTTGTTCAGCCGGGAAGCAACAGATTGGTCCACATCTTGTCTGTTTCACAAACACATGCCTGCAGCTATCATCGGATCAGAGTGATGAAGAATATCCGGCGTCATATTATCTAAAATACAAGTTGTGCCATTCAGTACCTGGGAGAAGGATGCGGCTGCTGAAGGCCACCACAGCACGCCATCGACTCAGTTTTTTCCCCTCTGCTGCCAGGCTGCTCAATGAGTCTGGCTTCCCTCCTCCCCCCGCCCACTAGGGACTTTGAAACTTGAAGGACTCAATGACATTTGCACTATTGATCTTACTGCACTTTATATTTATCTATTTTCTGCACGGTGTTGTTTGTGTTTTATGTTATCTGTGGAAAAAAGATCCGAACACACTCATGTTATTGCCAAAGCAAGTTCCTATGTGTATTACACAATGGTTAATAAAGGAATCTGAATCTGAATCTGAATCTGAATCTGAATCACGGTTCCTTGGTTGGAGCTGATTTTTCAGCTATATACTATATACATGTCTAGGCAGAGCCGGCCCAAGGCATAAGCGAACTAAGCGCCTGCTTAGGGCCCCGCAGCCAGTAGGGGGCCCCCCCAAGAGCAATAATTATGAAAAAAATCATAATGTATATATATATAGATTTTTTACTTTTTGCATGTATGAGTGGTGCTTTCTGTATGATCAAATATATATTATTGTAATAATAAAATAAAGTGAAAACATTTTAGTGCTGCTGCTGATGTAGACTTATGATTCTTACTGCTGATATGTCAAAGCTCCGCTACTGTTATGCGCCTCCTGCTGTGCAATGTGCACTGAGTATCCAAAGCGCAGGTAGTTGTGGTGCAAAACAATGTTCCAAAAAAGGACGTATCCTTCAGGAGCAGAGAAAAGAAAGAGGAAGAGGAGAAAAACGCCAAGATGAAGGTATGTTTGCATGTCATGGAGTGTTAATCAAAGAGATTTTTGAAGGTGTGTGAGTGATCAACAATCAATATTATTGGCAGAAAAAAAGGGCCCCAAATCAAATTTTGCTGAGGGCCCAATTGAGGCTTGGGTAACCGGCTCTGTGTCTAAGTACCCAACGTTGGACTGATACAAGGTAGGAGTGAGGCCGGATAATGTCACCTGCTTTCATAGAGGTTGTAGATAGAGGGGGGAAGGTTGCACAAACTACCCAGGCCCCAGTGGAGGAAGGGGGCTTAAGCAGCATGTGAAGTTTTTTCTCTGAAATTTTCCTCTCTAAGCTATAATTATCAAAAGTGAAAAATAGTTGTCTGGGAATATTACATCAAAGAGAAAAGAAAGAAGGTGAATTGAGTAAGCAAGCTGGAAAATGAGTTTTTAATCCTTTGGTCTGAAAAAGAGAGTGACCGTAGCTGACATAGATTAAGAATGAATCCAAATCCCAGTCTGAGACTCTCTACATTAGGAGAACGTGATGCTTTCCTCCCACTGCAGTTGGAACTTTTTTTTTTAATTTTTTACAAACCTTAATGTAGTGGCGAAATAAATACACCTTCTTTAAAAGATAAGGTGGTTCACACTGCCATCTTTGAGTAAAATGGTATTGGGTTCAACGCCAGTTTGGGACTTTTTGCAAGAGGTGGACAATAATTGCTTTCCTAACACTGCAGTCCGAGCTGTGCTTTTGAAAAACTGTAATGAAGTGGTGAGAAAGAAATATCTAAAAGTGCAAGCACCGCCAGGCAGGCCATTGATGTGGTGGTGAGCACTACAGCTTTGAGTTAAATGGTTCCTGTCTCATGCAGAGAAAGTGCAAGGTTGAGGCAGGTACAGAAAAGAAAGTAGGCAGAAATAGCTGACAGAGGAGGGGAAAGGGGAAGGAGGGGTTAGAAAATAGTTGGAGAGAAAAAAGAAACACTCAAATAAAAATTCAATGCCCTCGAGTGGAGCAGAGAGGAGATTTCTACTGTCCCAATAATTTTAGGAGCATTTTAGATTGAGATAATTACAGCAACACAAATCCTGTCACATCAGACAGAGATACCCTCGCACTGTTTGCCAAGATACCTCCTCTGCTTATTGAAGAGGGGATGTGGAGGAAATGTGGGGTACAACTGAACTTCACCTGCTTTAAAAAAAATTCACTCAAGAAGGAAAGCTTATTTGTGGTTGCCAGGTCTGCAGTTTTCCTGTAGAATCTGACAACTTTTTAGGTGCTGCTGCACACTGTCTCAGTTATCATCTCTCTGTCTTAAACAATCTGATGATTTTTTTTTCAAGAAAATTTATTAGAAAAATCCAATCATAAAAATTTCAATTTCAATGTGCCCCACGACCAGCGTGCACTCCCAAACAGACAGTCCCGGTCATAGACGCAGATGCCTCAGTTCGCGCTGGAGCGTCATGTAGCGTCGCCGCCATAGGATATAGACTGACATAGACCCAAACAAGTAAGACTGAAAAATAATTTTGGCTGTTTTTATTGTGTGACAGTGTCCTCCATCATAGCCCAATCTCTGCCAATTGTAACAAACAAAACCGTGTGAAAAGTCGGGCATTTCTACCTTCCTCAATATAAATAAATGCGCTTTTACGCACGGATTTGGCAACACCTGTGCCCATCATTATCCCAAAATGAAAGGCGGCAGTTGCCTGAGCAAAAAGACGCATGAAGGCACACAAGACATCGAAAACAAAACGCACAAGCTACACGGTAAGCGGTTTTCAGTCTGTGTGGGTGTAGTTAGATTAAAATAACCCCCGAAGTCTGAATTATCTGTGATTATTCTGTGAAAACTGAGCAGTGGCGGCGATTGTGTGTGAAGTGAAGCTGAAGAGATGTGAAGTTTGGTGTGTCGGCGGTGTCTTTGCTCAAGACTTGAAGTAAAGTACTTTAAAGGGCAGCTATGAAGAAAATATTGTTTCCACAACAACAAGGATGAATGAACTTTCAATTCAAAGCCAGAATAAGTAAACAGCATTTGTTCTGTGTTCAGTTACTCTACTAGTATGTGCTGCTAGGCTAACCGAGAAGGCCTCAGGGTCTTGCTCCTGAAAATCTGGATAAAATCCCCTGTTGTTATACTTGTTCAAGCAGTTATAGTGAATTAGATTTGACGTGGCTGCCAGTCATATGCTTTTTGTTGTTTTTTGTTTTTTAAATATGTCCAGATCCATCCAATGGTTATCCGCTGTCTGTTTGGTTGCTTATCAATCAGGCTGTATGTCTTCCTGCCTATTTCATACCATGTGAACGAACCAACATCATGTCTTCACTCGTCTGTCTTCATATACTTCCAGCATAACACTGCCTGGATAAACACTGATGAACAGGATATCTCATCAGCTGGCTTTCTTGCCAACCCTGAGCCTGTGTTTTATAGGAACCTCAAAGGGATATTTCAGCGTAAAATTAACACCTAGTTAAACACCCCCTTGAGAGGTGAACATTTATGATCATTTCTTTATCATTTCCTTGAAGTAATAATCACCATATTAATCATTTTACACTGCAGATGCGGTAGTTCTTCTGCCTTAGCATCTCAGTCTGATTGTGTTTCCATGAAGAAATGATCATAAATGTTCTTCCTTGTGCTGCGTCACCCCGCTGTAGTCCGTGATGGTCGGGCCCGGAGGTCACGCTACAAAAAAGCGGCTGCTGGAAGAGTGTGGGTGAGTTGTGTTTAGTCTCTTTGCTAAAGAAATCAGGCAAAGTTAAAAAGATGTTTGGTGGCTAGTACTATGGCTGGGACCCTATATGTACTGTTGATGAAGTTAGGTGCTGTTCTGAGTATTATTTGTGGTTATAGAGTGGCGTTTTTGTTGAGGTTTGTTTATGGCTCCTCAGACTGCTGTGTATTGCTATCCTACGGTCGTTCCGAAAGTTGGTATAACTAGAGAAGCAAATGGTTGGCAACATTCATCTCTCGAGGGGGGTGTCTAACTCGGTGTTACGGCGTGTTTGACCCTAAATTAATTTTACGCCAATATATCCCTTTAATTCTGATTGGTCAAAACCTTAGACCACCTAGACCACCACCCCTCTTAAAGAATTACAGAACAGAGCTTTCTTTCAGGCATGGATCAGGGAGATTGTTTTGGATTCATACATTCAACACAGTAACACCAAATGGATGTTATGATGATTCTCCCAGTCGTTTGAATCCTGACAGCTCAATACAGACCCACTATATGTAGCCAGTATACTTAACTGTTGGTGCCATGTAACATGCAGTTCCAGAGCTATTTAGAGCTGTACTGTTGTCATGCTGTGGAAGTCAGCTTGGTTGTGAATGCCGGTCATGGCTCCTGTGGTAGAGGCTGAAGTAAAGAGGTGATTGGTTCTCGCTTGATTGAACCCAGTTTCCAGCTGTGCAGTGACTCCGTCCTTGGATATTTTATGAAATAGACTTTGTACATTCAGGATATCGGACACTGTAGAGAAGGTCTTGTACCTTGTATATATGCTTGTATGCAGGCTGGATGAAAAGTTAACCAGGAAAATGTTCTTTTCTAATCATCCTTGACTTGACATTTGAGATATGCTGCTTATGTGTGTTGGTTTTACACATAAATGCACACTTACACACACACTGGGCTTACAGGGAAACAACATTTCAAACCCCCTTAATGTGTTTACTATCTGAGAAAACCTACAGCAGTTTTTTAGCCTGTGCTTCTAAGATGAAGTGAAGAGTTTGACAATTTCACTGAGCCATTTGTAAATGATGTCTGTGCAGATTTGTGGAGAACTCTCGCACACATCTATCAAAACAACACAATATGCCCAAATGAATGAGATCTGATGTGAATGACAAACTAATTGTCCGGAGATTTGAGCGTACCATTTTGAAAAATGTTTTTGTCGTTTGATAATTGAGCGAAAGCGAATGAGAAAGACTGTAAGCTGCTTTGTGCTCATTTACTTGTGCACACTGTGTGTTGTCGAGCTTGTTGAATCATCTATCAAATCCACAAAGTGTACCTTGGATGTGACAGATTTGTATTGGCTTTGGCAACAGTGTTTAATGCAAGTGCTGCAGTACTGCATACCAGATTTTGATGGCTGTTTACTGGATTATGATTTTGATTGATAAAAAAAAAACATCTCCCCAAAAGGCTTTTTTCTCTCATAACAGAGATTTCAAAAGATAAGCTCCATTTCCTGCTCTGCACAGCTGATCTATCTCCTGTTGTGCTGCTGTTTTCTAATATCAGATTATAGGCTCTCAGAGGTAATACACACACCTTGTTGTGCTATCTCTCTCTCTCTCTTTCTCTCTCTTTTGCTCTCTCTCAAGTTTTAGTTCACATTGCTTTAATGGTGTGAACAATCAAAGATGTAAATGCCTAAGCACCTAAAGGTGGGGTAGGCAGGATTCTGTTGAAGAAGCATCTTTGTTTGTGGTGTATACAAAAAAGCTTTTAATATCAGTCAATAGCTATCAGTTATTGATGATATTTCGTAATATAATGATATCGCTGTGTTTTGTTATGTCTGTGTAGTCAACATTTTAAAATTTTGAGCGGCCCGCTCTTTCTGACTGTAAACAAAGCCATTCTCCACCTCTGATTGGTTGTGAGGCAGACGCTGCTCCCCTGTGTCGTTCATGAGCCCAAACAAAGTTAGCGTGCAACAATATCGGACAGTAGAAACCAACCAGAAAGTACAGAAAATTGTCTTAATCTTCCTTTGGCCACGACTGCCGACACAAGCAATAAAACGAACTAAATACCGGAGACTCTGGCGGAATAACAGATGCTTAAAAAGAAGGTAGACCGAACAAGAGCTAAAAAGCCGGGTCAACATCAGCATAGACAATGGAGGTCGCTTCTGGATCTTACAGACCCTGTAACCTCTTCTGCTGGACAGGTAAACCGCTTTAACAAAGTAAGCCAAGTGTCTGTAACAGAAGTGTTTCTTGTCAGGACCCGCTGCGTGTTGTAGCACCACTAAACTGTTGACCTCGGGTCCTGGACTACGTCACTTTATCCTAGTTGTAGAAGTCCTGCAAACATTGTGTTTGCTGGTCGTCTGTTGGCATCTACAGTAGCACCAATGCTTTTTACTTTCACGCTGACTGGGCCCCATTTGTAATTCTCATAAGTATTTATCTGCATTATATCTGAATTTAATTGGAACGATACAAGCGAGCCTGAGCGTCTGTTTGTGGGCGGGGCTTTCTGGAGCAGAGAGGGAGGGGAGAGGAGGACCTGAGGGGAAAACTGGTTGGGGGGGGGTAGAGTTTACATTCAAGATTTCTCCCCAAAACCGTTACTTCCTCAGATCCTGCCTACCCCACCTTTAAACAGTGATGTTTTCCTCCAAACTGAAAATTAGTGGCGATAAGGTTACGACAGAATATTTTTTATGTATATCTAGAATTTAAAAAGTATCGCAGTTTGAAGCTTGCCACCCATGATGCACTGACGGAGTTAGCGTCTCATTCTGTTTGAGTCTGTCTGGTGCTGCACAGGTGGTGAAGCATTTTGTGGTGTTGTGATGGATACAGCACCCGGTCTGACTGAGGCTCTGAGAATAATTCATGAGCCTTTTTAAAGTCATGTCGAACACACAAGAGGCTGAACAACACAAGTGTTAACAAACATGAGGATCTGGATACAAACTCAACATCTGAGCTGCGGCTCCTGATGTAAATGCTGCTGAAGATGTTCTTCCTAACAGCAGAACAAATCTCCGGGGTTGAAGTGTAAAGTGTGATCAGTGTAACAACAGTGGGATGTGGACATCTCAAAGAAGCGGGTCTGAACGTTCGTTAATGTCACGGATCTATTTTTGGAGAGCAATTAGCATTTTCATCGCTCTGCAGGGGGGTGAACTCTGTTCTCTTTTGATACTGTACATGAATATTCACAAAGGATAACACCTCATTCACTCTCAGCAGAGGAAACGTGTCGGCAACAAGCCAAGATGAATTTGCGGTAGAGGTAACTCTAGACCACAATAAAAGAGCATATCAGTGACAAACTGTGACATAAAGACAAGACGCAAGACAACCTAGTTAGTCAAATTTATCGTTTGAGTCCATGAAGCTCTGTAAACTTCAGACTGGAGGAATCAGCAGAGTTTACATGGATACTAAAAGGAGCTTGTGTGTAGATCCTTTCGCTGTGGGTCATGCTCGCTGTCTCCTCCTGATTGTGCAAATCTGAGCTAACTGCCCTCATGCTTAAGCTTAAAGTTTACCCTGCAGGCATATTTATCTTTTATTATCACAGTCTGTAAAAGCAGTTTCAAAAATGTCCGACTATTCAGCCTAGTGTGTCCGTGACAGAGCTGAATGTGTGAAATGTTCGTTTTTGAGTCTTTGTGTGTCTGTTTGCTGTTTCTTTGTTGTTTCACTGACTCGGCACATTTCGCAGCCCAGAGATTTTTGTCAATACGACAGGCTGAACCACACCGACGACAAGCCTGACCCTCCTCTGTGCTTATCTACAGACGCCACACACGGCTCTATTGTGTGTGACGATGACGCACCTTTTCTATCTCCGTGATCCACCTTAATGCATTCTGATGTGATGATGCAGGTATGAATGAAAGACACAGACACGGTTATTTATTGCAGATGATTTCTGTCAACTCTTTTACTCTGATTCTCCTCACACAGTCGGATGTTGTTCACCAGCTTACAACTTGTCATGAAGAACATGATGCTCTGATTCTGTCCTTGTTCATCAGGTACAAATGGGGGTGTGAAAGTGGGCGTAATGTAAATAAAAATCAGACGGAAAGCGGAGGCGTGAGGATGTCCATGTCAGGTTGTGTTCGTATGCAGATTTTAAGCCTGTCCTGCTGTGCCTTTTCCTCCTGGTTTACCCTGATGTGTGGGTGGCTCAGGAGAAACGCAGGGATTTCCTTGACTTGTCAACTTTGCTGGAGACAAGACAGATGACAGGTATAAGGCACGCAGGTCCACAGGGGGTGCTCTAGTCATGTGGAGGCCCTGTGCTCCTCCTGCAGGGTTCCGACACGGTTGGAATTTCCAGACTTTTTCATACCCTAATTTCTAGAATAATTTTTGTAAATACCTTCTTTTCTATTTTAGAAAACAGTATTTGAGAATTTTTCTTCCAATAGTGTGGAAACAAATATTTTTCCATTCTTTATTTTTCATTTTCCATACTTTTCAAGACCTGGAAATTGATCAAATTTATCTCCATACTTTTCATATTTTTCCATACTGGCGTAGAAACCCTACACCTGTCCTGAGAAGAGCGCAAATTTTTCAGCACATATCTCAAATCTAGGAAGTATGATCTGTGTAGGTGGCACATGGATAATTACGCAGGTTTTATAGTGGCTGTTTAACATGCAGAACATCTTTGACGACAAAGAGAGGGATGTGTTTCTATGGTCACAGCTGCATCACCTTCACCTGTTTGCATATTGCAGTTGGTAACAGTGCTGTAGTGATGCTCCTCTATCACTACACCTCTGTACTCAGTCACCTCTGCAACAACATAATTATACAGCCCTAGATTTCTTATTGTATAATGGTGTTGCGGAGGCAGGAGTGACAGGGAGTGTAAACATACAGCAGCAGCTTTTCATACATGCACACAGAGCTGCTCCACCCTTCCAGCTCCAGTGTTACACATCTTCACTGTCTTTCTCACCTGTCATACTCTACCAATCCAACTCTGTGTGTCTACACCAGACATAACAAATCCTCTTAATGTGGTCAAACTAGGGCTGGGCGATATGGCCACTGATCAATATCAATATATTGAGCAGTTCACCTCGATGACAATAAATTCATGATAACTACTCCACAAGCTGCTCACCCCCTCCCACATTAACTTTGTCTACTTCGGCCGCCGCTTCAGCTGCTACAACTTTTGAACCGTCTTCCATCTCCTCACCTGTCTTTCCCTCTTTGTTACGGACTGGATGGGGTGGAGTCACGTCTCCGACATAGGACAGCGCCTTTAAAGGGACATGAGACCGTAGCCTACCTACACACATCCAAAAACAACTTTTATTTTTTTACTTTTTTGACACCCAGTGTACCGATTTGGACAAAATGACTTTGTTCATTGTGGTAAATTTCGGTCTATCGCCCAGCCCTAGGTCAACCTCAACTGTGTTTGATGTAAACAGACTATTGTGACATGTGGGAACCCCTCTTCTCTTGCAGTTACCCATGTGTTTGTGCACTCTGGCAGACAAATTATATACATGCGAATGGAGCGAGTCATTGCACAAACGTTGCATTCACACAAATGGTGTAAACGCAGCATTACACATTGCAGAGTAGACTCGATGGGGGTAAATATCTCCATTTCATTTGTAAATTAAAGAAAAAGCCTCACTGCTCTTTCCTCCCTGATTTTGGAACAATAAGATTGCAGTGAGAGTCCCCCCCCCCCCAACTGGCCCAGTCTCTTCAAAGCGATAGGATTGGTTTTACTATTTACTCTTGAAGCTGCAGCTTGCTTGGTATCCTGGCAGACCCGGATTAAAGGGCTACACAAGGAAGGACCCTCTTTGCTTCTTTTTGATTGTTTATTACAAAAGATTACCTGCACTCACTTAATAAAAACACAGATTTTTCAAATATTTTGAACTGGGAAAAAGATTCATATTGACTGCCAGAGGACTTTGACTCTGAACCTCTCAGGTTTTTATCGTATTGAAAATCTCTTTGTGAAATTCAGTTCTAAATACTTGAACTTGAACATTTTCCCTCTGCTTCATTCATATTTTTTTTTACAGAAAAATATGGCATTCACTGCTTCTTTGTGGCTCAGTGTGAAAGGAGCTCTTTTTTGTCAGAAGGCTCATATAATCAGTTTTTATATTTTTTTATAAATATGCTCAATCCAATAAGAACAGACAAATCATTGAAGTTTGAAGGTCAGATTTGAATTTTGAAGGCAGCAAATGCAGTTTAATGTATGAAAAAATCATGTTTTTTTTAAGTACATAAGAGGTTGTGACCTCTGTGTTAACTGTCCATACTTCATACCTGTCAGATTTTAACTGAACTATATCAGGTTCTTGTACATAATGAACTAAATGTGCATAGTTTTTCCAAGCATGGCCAAACCTGATCAGAACCTTGAAAATGAGCCACTACTGCCCCCTGTTGGACAAAGTATCAGCCTGCTCGGCTCAGTGAAGGGTGTCTTATTGCTGTTGCTGTTTGAGCAGATGCCTCCTCACATCTTTAACTTCACTAAGGTGTAGTTTTAAAAAAGACATGAATTCATATCCTTTAAAGCGTTTTATTTGTTTAAAGACAGTCTGATTAAAAGCCAACACTCACAATTACTTTCATATTTACAGCATTACTATATCACGTGTGTCTCCTGTTTCACATCCAAACCAGACCATCTGGCCTCAGTGTGCTTAATTAAAACCAATGTGAGAAAACACTACATGCTGTGTGTTTCAAACAGTGAAAAACTCCTTCACTTAACATAAAACGATTGTAGAATTTCTTTTTATTTGGTTCAATGATAAAATCACCCCATCCCCATCCCCTCTTCAACATCGCACTTCGAGCCTATACAGGAAACACACAAAAAAAGCAGCTCCCATAACATGACACCTAAGCTAAATTAAATTATTGACTCGTTTTGAAATACAAAATACATAACAGTCACTTGTGCACTTGTTGGTTACCAGCTTAAAAGAAATATTTGTGCGTGGAAAAAAGGAGTCGACTCTCCTCTATGACTATGATAACTGAATACACAAAAAGGTGTAGAAACGTTGCTCAATAGAGATGCATTAGAACAACAAAGGCTGATCGGTGCAGGTCACAGAGAGTATTAAACTGGATGGATGAGGGTCCGCCCCTTTTGTTTTTACCGAAATGAAATCTGCGTCAAACAACCAATCAAAGCAAATCTCAAATTTCCTGCCGAGGGATTAATAAAGTATTGAATGATTCTGATTCTGCATAAATCAGCCTCATACAGGTCGCATTTTCAGTAGTGCACACACAGAGGTCGTGTAAGAGGGTCCTTCACAACGAGAAACATGACCATGAAGATTACAAGTCGTAGTGAATAAACAGCGTCTCCCCTTCTTCCTCTCTCCTTGTGCCTGAGATGCTCAACACAACATCTAAGCTTCTCGACACCGCTGATGCTGCTTTTTAGGAAGTGTATCTATAACCGTTTGCGTTTTTGACATCTATAAAAGTCACACTGAAGTGATTCCGACACTATTGTCTCTATTTATGCAGTAGTTGAGTAGAAAATAGCAGATTGTTGTTTCTCACCTCTCAGTCTGACATAAATAGTTAATAGGTATAGAAAGTTTCTGCAGCTTTGACTTTCCGGCTTAAGCCCAGCAGAAAGTGGGAGGGGCTTATCAGAGTGATACATGTAAATAGAGGGAGAGGTGAAAGAGGGTATTTTTTTTTGGTGGACTTTTCCTGTTGTTTAATGCCACTTTGATGTTTAGTGAACAATGAGAAAGTAAATGACCTGTGCAGTCACCAGCAGAGTGCAGAGCTCATTACATTCTTGCAGTCCAAACGCATTTAGTTTAGATAGGAACACAATCACTGAGCTGTGAGTCTGTCTCCCTCCTGTTGGAGAAAACAAGTGTTTTCTTCAAGTTTTTTTTTTCTACATGTGCTGCGAGTCCAAGATGTCCAGATACTTTTCGTCAATCAGTTTGGGAAGCAGGTTGATCCTGAGATAAAAAAACACAGAGATGATGACAGATGATAAAAATGATTTTTTACATTGAAGATAAAAAGGGAAACATGTAAATTCACGAGAGTCTCTTTAACAGTTCCTCAAACTAGGCTGAGATAACTCTGACTTATTCTCACAAACTTTAGAAAGCCCTTTTTAGAGTAAACAGTTTTCCCGCTGAGAGTGACGAGGAAGCTGATCCTATTTTGTGAGATCAGATGGGTTCTCCTTTAACAAGCACTCAGCATGGCTTTTTGGCTGTTTTTTTTTTCCCTCATAAAACCAGACCTTGTCCTGAAAACCAGGTTCAGAGTTCATCGGTGTCAGCCACTTTCTTACTTACTGGGAAAAAAGTAATTTGAGGTAGGTTAAAGGGATATTCCGGTGTAAAATTGATTTAGGGACACCGAGACACCCCCTCGAGAGATGAATGTTGCCGACCGCTTGCTTCTCTAGTTATACCAACTTTAGTAATGACCGCACGATAGCAATACACAGCGGTCTGAGGAGCCATAAACAAACCTCAACCAAAACACCACTCTATAGCCACAAATAATGCTCAGAACAGCACCTAACTTCATCAACAGTACATAGTAGGTCCCAGCCATAGCACTAGCCACCAAACATCTTTTTAGCTTTGCCTGATTTATTTAGCAAAGAGACTAAACACAACTCACCTACTTTCTTCCAGCAGCCGCTTGTTTGTAGCGAGACCTCAGGCCAGTCCATTATGGACTGCTGCGGGGTGTCACAGCTCAAGGAAGAACATTCATGATCATTTCTTCATGGAAATAAAATCAGACCGAGATGCTAAGGCAGTAGAACTACCGCGTCTGCAGTGCAAAATGATTAATATGGTGATTATTAATTCAACAAAATGATAGACATGATCATAAATGTTCTTCCTTGAGCTGTGTCACCCCACTGTGGTCGGCAACCTTAATCTCTCGAGGGGGTGTCTTAGTTTTACGCCGGAATATCCCTTTAAGGTATGTAGGAGAAGGAAATAGACTTTTCTCTAATGAGGACTTGCTGTCATTAGTATAAATAAAATCTGTTTGGATGTATTTAAGCTTTTGGATTAATTAAAGATAGAGTTGAAAAAAATACAGAGTTTTTTCATTGTCACATCCAACTAATCAGGACATTTTCATTCTAACTCACAGCTCCTCAGACTTTGTTGACACAAGTCTAGGGATGCTATAAACGTGTTACTAAAGTAGATTTTCATTAAGACATGACAGTAGCATAACTTACCTGACAGGTACGAGCAGAATCATCAGCAGAGGGAAGACCATCTTCATGTAGGGCAGGGGATACAGCCCAAACGCACACAGGATGATGAGCTGGATCATCTGCAGTCCAGTGAAGAAATGAATCTTCCTCTGAGGCACTTGGCGGATGTAGTGAGCAGGAGGATATGAAGTCTAGACAGAGAAATTTAAATAAAACCAGGTTTAAATGCTATTTGACATGAAGCTTTACATGTTGTTTTTTCAGACTATCAGTAGATTAAAGTTCTTGGAGGTCCAGTTAATTCAGCAGTTACATGACGGCCCCAGATCCAGGGGTCATTTGCAGCTTGTCATTACCTACTCTCTGTTCCAGTTTACAACTCCATTCACTATCTTCTCCTCTCACCTGTTCTTTCAGCAGCAGCGCCATGCGGTCCATCATCTGGTTTCCATCGAGCGAGGTGGCTGCGATGTAGAGGAAGAGGCCGTAGAGGACAGGCTTTGGGATCCACTGCAGAGGGATGGGCAGCATGAACGCAGACACGCCGATCAGGATGTTTGCCACCAGAGCGGTAAGGCGCTGTTCCTTCACGCTGACGATACTGTTTCACGCAGACGCAAAGAGAAAATGAAGGATTAAGTTGAAGACATGTTACAGTAATTTTCCTAAAGCAGTGACAGCAGTAAAACTGTGACAACATAAAGGGTCTGTGAACCACTAAGATCAAACAAACAATCAGATATTCAATTTTAATAGTTAGATTTTAAAGATTTGTCAGGGTCCAGGTAGAAGTCTCCTGTATTTCTAAGACTTAACACAAAAAAAGGTTTAAATTCACATTAAGAGAAACAAGATAAAAAATTGTGGAGGACATGCATTTAAGGCCTGAGGCTGGAATCTACACAAGGACTATGACTCTGGAAATGGAGCACCTGCCCCACTGACTGAATAATATTGTTTCCCTAATATAAAAAGGAATATAGATAAGAATAAATAAAGGAAAATAAAATGTTTCTCAAGATGCTCACACTTCAGCAATCAACATTTTGTGGAATAATTGATGCTGATACTTAATTAGGAAAATAACTATCATGATAAGCTGTGAAACATGTTTTGATCCACAAAACAAAAAAAATAGTCCTTTTAAAACTGTGGAGACGTTGAACATCTGTTTGTCCATGACAGCAAGGGAAACTATGTCAGCTCCAAAAGACCATTTTATTCACTCAAGAGTCCCAAAAACCTTTGAGCAGATCTTCAGTATAAGAAACATCTGCTGTCATTATGGCTAGTTTGTCTTTAAGCTCAACTGTTGCCATTTTGTATGACAAATATCGCAGTTTTGGACTAAAAGAAGAAAAAGCACTGTCATATTTCAGTTGTTTTGGCCCATATCAGGACTGACAGTCCATTACGAACCCCACACCCCTCCCCTCCTCGGAGTTCAACAGGTTCAGACAAGCTGCTTTTTTTCTGTCTTAGCGTGCACTGCTGGGTTTTTGCCCCTTTTCTGAACCGGACTCACGTTGTGTAGACATGTCCGTTCTCCACATGCTGTTCCACTTTGGCCAGCTGACGGGCATGTAGGTGGGAATGTGGGAAGGCAGCGTGCATCCATGGCAACCCCAGACAGGACATGAGGATGTTGATGAAGCCAGTCAGCATCAAGTCCCAGTGGAACGTTGTTCCTTTTAGCAGCCTGGAACAGACAGAACAGACACGACTGTTTTTATCGAGAGCTACAGCTGGACACGTTTGCCAATAAAAAGCAGCATTAATAAGAGTTACTTTGAACACTTATTCCGCTTACTGTGTGGAAGGTTTTGTCATAGTTTGGCAGGGAAATTGGTGTTGTTAATGCCTCATTTAATGAGGTGTTTTTTTACATTTTACAGATAATGGGCAATGGTAAGAAAGCTGCAATTTAGTGTTTCGAAAATAAACAAGAAAACATCAAATCAAAGGAAATATATGGATTGGTGCTGATATCCAAAAGATAAAGCAGAAATGGATCAGGCTTGAGAGGCTGATCCAAATCCCAGTGAAATTTGTCTCCACACACACGAAGATTTAATGTCCTGACTAGGGCTGGGCGATAAAACGATAACAACATATATATCAAAAATTAATTTCCCTCAATATCAATATAAAACATGGTCAATATGCTTTTCAATAGTCGCCATTCTGCCGTGTTTTGGTAGACTATACAAATAGCCAATGAAAATAGGAGTTGCTCCAGGTCCGCTTCACGCTGAACCAATCGTGTGCTGAATTAGAACCCAGTAGCAAACAAACATGTGCACTGCAAATTATGTCGAGTACATGTTCTTGTAAAGTCGAAGAATACCTCAAATCTTTTTCACCACCTGAAGCAGTGCCACGCGGCAGAGAACACACAATGCAAAAGGTTACAAGCCCCAAGTGGAGCAAGGAGCCCATGGCGCCTGTGCAGCTGAAACAGATGACCATTCAGTCCGCTTTCTCTAGCGCAACGTTTTACGACAAAATGTCAAAGAGACACAAAGACCTCACAGATGCAGTAGCTTATTGTATTGCAAAAGACATACTACCAATAAGCCCTGTTAAATCTCATTTTTTATATTGTAATATATGTATGTCGACTGTAATGAAACAAATATATTGTGATAAACGTTTCCCATATCGCCCAGCCCTAGTCCTGACCAGAATTGATTTTTTTAACCTTATCCGTCACACTTCTTTTACTATGCTACATAAATCTTGGTTTGTATCATGGCCTTACTGACACTAGCATGTTATAAAGACAAACGTGACATAGGTGGAAAAACACTGACAATGTTCCGACTTAAACTAGTTTTACGCTCTTTGTTTTTACCAGAGTTTTTGTGGTTGTTTGTTGTTTGTAAATCTGTTCATTTTGTGGGGAATATAATAAGTGGCTATAATATCAGACTGATATCCTTATACCACTTTTTAGGCTTTATCATGAGAGGAATACTGATACCTGCACTGAATTCCTGTTGTGGTAACAATATTGGAATACCTCTAATCATTTTTAGATTATCGAGCTGTAAATCTACAAGTGGTCTGCAAATCCAGGATTATTGGGCAGACTTAGGCCTATTTTCCAAATCTGGTGCACTTCTGCCAAATCCAATCCAATCCACTTTATTTATACAGCACATTTTGACAAAAAAAAAAAAATTCCCCAAGTGCTGCACAGTACGATAAGAAGCTGAGGAAATAAAAAAACACATTACAAAGAAAACACAAAAAACAATAAAAGCCTGTCAGACACGTACAAAGACAGTGGAAGGAATAAATCAAAGTCAGCAGGGACTACACAGCTCTCATGTTGGGTAAAAGACAAGGAATAAAAGTTTTTAGCTGAGGTTTAAAAAGGATGTACAGTTGGGGACATTTTAATATCAGGGAGACTCGTTCTACGGTTTGAGGGTCACGGCAGAGAAGGCACAGTCACTCCTGGTTTTCAGCCTGGTCGTAGGGACACATTCAGAGCAAATCTGAGGAACTGATTTTTAAAGAGTATCCAGAGAGCAGTGATTTGGCGTATTAGGTGTGATGATGAGTCAAAGCTTTTGAACCTGTTACAAGTAATTAAACTCAACGGCAAATTCTGTCCAAGGAATCTGATCCGATATGAGGCATTTGATGAGTGCCGTTATATCATAGGGACTGTTTATCTATCTCTAACATCTGATTTACCTCTGTGTCTCACTACAGACTGTCTCTTGGATGACAAATTAGACTATAACTCATTAATGTACAAGTAGAAGCCCTGTTGTAACCATGGACACAAGCAAATAAGATGGAGAATTGTTTAATCGTACACAGAATCCAGCCATTGAATGTTCTATTTGCAACAGATAACCATGATAAAGGGAGGGAAGAAACAGGGAGATGAAAAGCAGGATTTGTCTTACTTGTGCTCTGGCACATGTGTGAGTGAGATGACGATGTTCTGGTCGATAAAGATGAGCAAAGCCAGGAGAAAACCCAAGCCAGCTCCGCTCAGCACCATCATGCCTGATACCTTATCAAACCGAGGGAAGGTGAAGATTGACTGATCGTGGACGCTGAACACAGGGACTGAAAGATGGAAAAGATCCATGAACAAAACTCAAAGTTATGTGACTTTAGCAAGTTTAAAAAGTAACATAAAAAGTCGCCTAAAAGTGAACTTCCTGCTTGAAAGATTACTTCTACCGGCAACAGTCAACCCAGGTCTGTGACCTACATTGATTCAGAACCCACACTGAGCTGAAAGCTCGGCAGGCGCAAATATTTTCTTTGTTTTGCTGCCAACGGATATTAAAAGAACAGTGGAAGGTGTTTACTGTGCCAAAGTTGTGACTTGAATCCTCGGGGAGGACTCTTCTGTCACGTCTATGGTTCAGGAGATGTGTACTTACGCTTTATGTCGAAGAAGAGGTAGGAGCCGATGAAGGAGAATACCACCACAGAGATCGGCAGAGCACAGTCAGACACCACCTCTCTGATTTTGTCGTTCAGATACGGGCTGCGGGGGAAGAAGTGACAACTCTGATACAAGTTCTGCAAGTTTTAAGTTACTCTCTTAGTTTATATTAGTCTAAACCAAGTGATGACTGTCTGTCACAAAGAGGAAAGAACAATGATATCCCAGAATTCACTTAGGGTGAAGAAGACACATGGATATGAGTTTGTAATGGCTGACTTAGTAGCAGCTCACTTCGGGCTCAAACAGCCTCTAATTCATTGAAGTGAATCCAAGAGGATTTAGATGACATGCAGTTTGAATAGTCATTTGAATCTTTACTTTAAAGTTTGTGATTAAACAGTCGAGTGAGTGAACGTACCTCCTTTTGAGGAGATAAAGAGCGTAGCCAAACCACAGGGTTCCCAACATGAGCAGCAGACAGAGGATGGGTCTTTCTCTTGTGCAGACGACCAGAGTCTCAGGCAGGAGGACGTATTTCTCCAGATGTGCCAACACTGACACAGTCTCGTTATTATTGGGATTCTCAAAAACATTGGTGTGGTTGTTGGCTTTCTCCAGAATGTCAGTGATCTGCTGGAGCACAATCGTGCTGTTTGTGGTTGCCAGAATAGGCCCGTGGTAGTAGGTCTGGAAGACTGGAAAGTATAGGAGAAGAAGGGAAAAATGAATTAAGATGAAAAAGGTAGCTTTGCTGCCATCTACCACCACACAAGTTCAGATTTTCAACATTTGCAACACAAAGATAGTCAGTCTTGTCACCGCAGGTCTTGTTTGCTTTTGTATATCAGAAAAAGGCATTTCAGTTTGTTTCATTATTGTCAAACTCTTCCCCCCTCGTCTTATACAGATTGTGCTCATATATATTGCTCATTCATGTTTTCATTCTCTGCCTTTATAAAAGCAAATATTGTATACAAGCGTTGCCTATTTAGTGCAGCTGAATAGAGAACAGCCTTCAGTATAAGATGAATTATCTAAAAAATCCACCTCATGCTCGTCCATTTATTTCCTGTCTTGTGAAAAATCTTGTGAGAAACATAAAAGCAGAAGCAAGGAGAAAGACGCTATTATATTAAAGTTTTCCTCACACACACGTAGCACACAGCAGCAGCGGGGCTGTGTTTGATCTCGTTCTTTGCTTTTCTCAAAGACTCAGTGGCATGCATGCATTTGCAGGGTTACATTAGATATAACAAAGGACTTTCAGACTTCCCCCTGCAGAGAGGAGAGATTTCTCCGCTTCATAAATATTACAAACCATGTTAAATGTTGTCTGCCCTTGACTTACTTTTGATGGTGCCTTTTACAGCATCCCCTACAAATGCTACAGAGATGAAGAGCGCAATGACTTCCTCTGTGGAGCTGAGAGATAAGAGGAAATAAAACATTTGTTAAAATGTAGGGCACATTTACTTAAATTTCATCCAAGTACTTGTTTTTCCAGACACAGACATAATAGTCCTTTCAAGGACAGATGACAGCCAAAATAGACAGAGAACATTCAACAAGATTAACAATAATGGCTGAAAATAGGAAGTCGTAACAGCTGCTCCACTTATCAGTGACCTGTCTGGATGCAAAGATGCACAGTGTGTCACATATTATGGTGTGGGGCTCAGTGTTGAGCACTCACCGTTTGAAGAGTTTCATAAACAGGCTGACATTGAATAAACCTCCCAGGATCAGGAACAGACTGTTCCACAAACCGATGCAGGAGTAGAAGGCGTCAAAGTTGAGGTCGTAGTCGTCGCAGATGCCCCTGATGACTGTAGAATGAACGCAAAGAAAAGCAGTTTAATACATCGAATTAAAAAACTTAACAGCACCTGCACTTATCTGTTTATTGTGATTTAAGTTTTAGACACAATATTGTTTTATTAAGTCTTAAAGGGATTGATAACCACTGTAAAATCTTCTGAAAAGCATGACTGTTTCAGTGTAGATTTGATCTTGGGCTACATGCGCATGAGAAACTATCAAACTTAAAACTCGATGCGTAAAGCTGCTAAGCAGGAGCTGTAAATCTTGAGAGCAAGCCAGCAGACATAAAGCTCTTATGTGCAATTGTTTTTTCCTACGATCAAACCTCTACATCTCTAAAGTCCGAAGTAAAACAACCCTTGAACAGTCGTGTGATCGGCTGGAAACAAAATGAGACTAATGTTTCCAACACAAACTCCCAGGTAGCTTAGTCTGTGTAGTAAAGAGGTGATCCCTGAACTCTGAGGTTAGAACGAAGCTTTGGTGACAGACACAGAGCCTACCTGAAACCATAACAACCAACGTGCACCTGTAAGCATGCAACGCTGCTCAGGTCTCACTAATAACCTGGCCGTGCTAAATAGTAAATCCTGAAAGGTCAAAATCCCTCCACAACAGTTAGCTGATTTAGTGTTAAAATGCAAGACAAGAGACAGCCTGATAACGCACATCGCAAAGAAGTTACCAACAGCTGATCTACTGTGCTGTTTTTAATTTCCTATTGAGTGTAATTTGGGAATATTGGTTACTAGCCAAGAAAACTAAGTGAAAGAGAGTCATGAATAGTGTTCACATTCATTAGGGGTGTCCCAATCCAATATTGATATCGGATATTGGTCCGATATCAGCAAAAGAATGAATTGTCTGAGTTCTGTGACTCAGACACAAAATTTACTTTTGCTGAAGTTTTTACTTATCTGAAGTTTTAGATGTGCTGCTCCTGCAGACTGAAATCTGCTACAAGAAAAATTGTGTATTGGAGAGCTGGTCTCTCTTAATCTTCTTAAATGTAGGTTTAAGGCTCTAGAAGAAGATGAAGCAGGCTCTAAGTGCTTTGACTAAAAATGTTCTGCTCTGCGACTTCGACTGAGCTGGTTGTTATGTCTGTATATGTCTGTAAATGTTTATGTCCGTAACTTTGTAAATGTACCGATGCCTGTCTTGGCCAGGACACTCTTGCAAATGATATTTTTCATCTCAATGAGGTTTTATCTGGTTAAATAAAGTTTCATTTCATTTCATTTCAATATCGGATTATATCAGCCTGCAGCTAAAATCTCCGATATCAGTACACCAATACAAGCAGTCCATTCCAGACATTGCTCCAGCACCTCTATGTAGAAGGGCCTGGATCTAGCATGCAGAGCCCAAGCAATCACAGCAGCAGTGTGTACTAAGGTACTAACGAAGTAGCAAGGAGTAGGAGTGATGTTTGCCGTGTGGCATTATTTTTCGTTGAAGTCTGAAAATGAGGTTGCAGCTGAGTGCAAAGCTTGTCATTCACAAGTTTGTGCCAATATCGGATCAATATCGGTATCAGCCAATACTGAGGGCTACAAAATCGGTAATGTATCGGAAGTAAAGAAGTTGTATCGGGGCACTCTTAACATTCATGTTCATCACTTCTTTAGGTTTAGCCAGTGTTAAGACTTTGTTCAGGAGACTCACATCCTTGCTTTAAATCTAAAATGCTGCTGTTATCGTGGCCTGACCGTAGCAGGAACCTGTTGAAAGTTCTGGTCATACCAAGTGTTCTCTAATCTGTATCAAGTCAATGCTGTACACCTCTGAGGTCAAAGTATGTTCAGCTTGGAAAGCCTCCTTCTCGGTTGCTTTGAGCTGGTTAGAACCAGCCTAAAGCTTTCTTTACCGCGGCCTGTAATCTCCTTATTAACCACTTGATCATAATACTAACCACTTATGAAGATAGCCAGTGGTGCTGTGGTCAGCGGAATCACGAGTGGTGAGCCGGCGAATAAAGCGTAGATGACTCCTCCGATGCTCTGGCCAACAATGGTCTTCTGAACATCTGTCACAAAACAAACAGTGAAACATCAGCCTCTTTGTTTGCCTCTGATTTATTAGTCAAAAAATTACTGTAATTAAATGTTTAACAGGAAGTTGCTGGTGAACATAATGAAGCTAGGAGTCCTTACCTATCTCCCCTCTTGTGCTTTCGTCGTTCAGTGAACCAAAGGCGATAGCCGGCAGCAGAATGATAATGTAGAGGAAGATGGCAGTGGTTGTGTATTTCAGCAGGGTGCGGTCCCTCCCAATTATACCTAGAGGGATAATTAATGACGTTAATGAGGGTTTAACACCTGACCAGACAAGATGAGCTCGAACTAGAAAAATCTAATTTTTGTTATAAGACTTGCAAGAAGAAAGTTTATGATTGCAGCCGTTTTAAATGTGATAAAAAGATACAAATAAAAAAGTTTACCATCTGTGAAGTCTGAAGGGTAGAGTGGGAGTCTGCGGCGGAGGTCCTTATAAATACCTTTACCGAATCTAAAGAAATCTCTGCACTGTGGAAAAAAAAGAAGTACAGAGAGTTAGTTGAGTCTGAGTGAAACAAAATGGTCACATATAACTCTGTTGTTAAGTTTGAGAGCCCTCTAACAGGCCAATCATGAGGAGCACCAGCTGGGGTAACAAATCCACTAAGTAACTCAAGGAACAGCGAGGTGATTGTTAACAGGCCCGGGAGCGGCTTGTTCCTGACTGTACAAGGGTGAATCAGGGTATTGATGCTGGAAAAGATTTGTGCAGCTGGCACAAACTCTCAAAGCGTGCTGGTCTAAATTCTGTTATCCTGCTTTAGGACTGACTAAGTTGGCACCAAGTTGGAAAATGACATAACACTGCCATAAGTATGAAGGCTGTGACGGACAGTCCTCTACAAAACTAAATGACTTAAAGATAATGGAAAGTTGTAGAGATGTAAATCCTTTTTTTAAAGATAGACAAGATTTGAAAAGCATAAATACACATGAAGATATCTAACTTGAGTGTGCGCTTACATGCTTTTTAGGCTGATTTTAAAGGGAAATTCGGACAAGTGTTTTAGCCATGTTGATAATAATCTCCCTGTTACGTCACATGACCGTTTGCGTGTGGTAATGAGTCTTTTGAAACAGAAAGCAGATTGTCTGCTTTGGGCTGGTGCTTGGATGTTTGTTTAGAAATGGAAACTACACTGTGGCTCAATAATTGCAGGATTCTGCTGGTACCCATAATTAAAAACTGCTGACAGGACAAGTTGCACTGCAAAACATGTAGTACTATTAAGCTGTAAAGGCTGTTGGCCCAATTGGAGTCGTCTCCAGGTAATAGCAGGAAAAAAACACAATAACAACAGCCTGCAGTCAACCAACAAACTTGTTTCAGTAAACTTCACTCCAGCGCATTTTCCACAACCATTCATTAAATACAAACACATTTATTTTACAAGTTTGTCTATAAGAAACATGGTGGTGCAAGATTGTAGCCTCCATTCAGATGTAGCCACTACTTTGTAGATATGAAAAGGCCTATTATATTCTGGTACATACACATTTATTTATACATGCTTATGAATGTTATATTCTTTATCAAGTCTGTTCCACTCAAAGCCTGATTAGCAATGCATTTTTAGGCGTGTCAAGAACTACTTTATGTGATGCCACACTTAAAGCTACTGTGAGAAACTTTTGGTTTGTGTCGACTTTGGCGCCCCCTGTGGACTGAGCAGTCTTAGCTTATCTTGTCCCCTACATACTGCATTGTCTCTAGAAAAAAAGTCATCCTTTTGACTTTTAGCAATCAAATGTGCAATTTTTGGGGGAATATTTTAAATGAAAACTGCTAAATCAGGCTTCTTCTTCTTCATTGTTTTTACTAATACCTACCACCTCACACCAGTTTCAAACGAAAAAACACCGCAATATAAAATGTCAATTTGGTTGCTGGTAGTCTTGTTTGCTTCTGTGTATCATAAAAATGCATCAATATGAATTTCAGTCTGTTTCATAGATATCACAAGACCCCCTATATGAGCTTTAATTTGAAAAATACGATAGTATGTGGTCTCTGATAAAGCCCAGGCTGATTCATAGGAAGGATGTTGTCTTGAAAACACAAAAATATTCTCCTAAAAATGAAAATATTCTAGTCGCCTCAGGTATTCATGCTTGGACCCCCTCTGTGCTAAAGCACTGGTCTCATTGATGAATGATTTCCTGACTGCATTTTACAAATGAGCCTGTTTTAATGTTCAGTGAAGAGACACTTGATGAGGAACACAGCCCTCAGCCAATACAAATCTCTAGTCAAAGTGTTGCATTGCCTGATTTTGTATTGAACAAAGTTTGAATTGCCAAATTAGGTCGGTTTGGCACCAACAACCTTCGCTGAACAGCTTTTTTTTTTTAAACCTTGAGGGCATCAGGTACAGCCAAAACCTTGCGTGAACTTTGCTCTTTTACAACCTAAATACATGCTTTCTGTCTTGGCACAGTGTGTGTTTCCACTCGTCCAACCTCCAGCATAGCGCACACATTTCCTCTTAATTTAATCACTAGACACGTGGAGCTGCAGACGTTCTGCTGCCAGAAACCATGGCAGACTCTGGCAGCTTTTTCAATCTGTTGGCCAGCTGCTTCTCATTCCTCAGGCCCTGGTCGGTAAAGTGTGGAAATGGGATAATCAGATAATCTGGCTCAACTGCTTTTGCTTTAATGTATCACAACTTTACATGCCTGAATGGAGTGGGATGTCATTAGGGTGGTCTCTGTGTGAAAGACCACGTTCCTTTTCTGTTTCGTTGTCTATCAGCTGAGAAGATTCATCTTTTTCATCATTTATATTCTGTGATAGTATTATGTGATGAACCTGTATCATAACCTGGTCTCTGCTTGTTTAAATAAAACAGGCACCATTACAGTAGACTCTGTTTTACATCCTCTATTTTGCCTTTCTTTCACACCTGAAGTGGCTTCCCTCTGCGTGGATCTGAGTCTTCCACTTCTTCGATGACTGGCTCGGTGTTGGCCTCAGCGAGCTGCTCTTGGTGAATCACCAGGTGCTGCTTGAACTCGTCCTCGGTCTTTGCCTCCAACAGCTTCTGTCTGAAGGAGATGTCAGAGAACATTGTGGAAAATGTTCTCCCGAATTCAGTGGCCGTCTTGGTGCTTTTCTGAAAAAGATGATGAGAAATTCAAACAGGGGGTTAATATCTTTATTCCTCCTTTTAATGGTGAAATATTATTAACCCATCTTCTGATTAATACCATGCTGAAAACATTTTTTCTTAACTTACCTGCACATAGGAACAGAAATACCACCAGACTTTTTTAATACATCTCTTTACAGCAGCTTTGACTTAAATAACACTATAACTTTATGTGACAGAAAGAATATGGGATAATAATGAGCTGAAATTGGGCAACCAGTTAAAGCAAAACTCTGTTCAGAGTGAAGCACACCAACACCTGCATAGAGGCGTACCCACATAGAGCTGCCATCAAGGCCCTGTAGTTAAAGCTAAGTCAGCTCAAGTAACCTCTGTGGCCCAAGTCTACCAGAGCAGAAGGAAGTAGATTTATGCCAGCCAGCTCTAAATAACCTCCAGGCCTCACCTTACTCACCTTAAAGTTCCTCAATATTGCCTTTTTTTTGTTGTTGTTGTTGTTGTTGAGAGCAAAGCTAATTCAGTCAAGTGTTGTGACACACTCGCGGTTATTTTGTCGTACTAGGAGAGTTTCTGTTAACTTTGATAAAATAATAAATTCAGATCCAGAGTTAGTAGACCCCTAGAAACACTAAAGATAATTTTCCTCCGTGAATGTGGGAGGGTTTGGGACATGCATAGATTCTTCATGGGGATAACTTTGCAACTTACACATTTCAACAGTTTCAACAATTTGGCACTGCCTCCCACTGCTCTGCTGAGAGGGATACCCTTGGATCTTATGCAGATGATGATTAGATGCACTACAATCATATCAAATATGACAGAGTAATTTATATAGTTCTGAGATGGTTTCTTTAAAATCTTTTGATAGTTATATTCCTACCCAGAGGTTTGTTTTTTGTTAATATTGATCTTGTAAAATGTGTGAAGGTATATTAAGATTTAGGCTGCAAATGCTGAAAGAGGTTTGAGTTGTTAAAACCAAAATTTATCTCAAGTCCATCTAAATCTTTTGTACTTTCATCCCGTAATTACAGGCTCAGCAATGTTTTGTTCAGCTAAATGTCACAGAAAAGAGGTTTACCTACAGCGGAAAATAACAGATTTTTCCATAAAGAATTACAGACCAGAGGTTATTTTACATTTATGCAATAGCTCAAGTTGGTAACAACAGTAATGGATTTTTTAATGCTATCATCATATTTATGGTAATACCATAAAGAGGCTCAAGGAGTATGATTATTATTATGTTTTTTCCACAGGAACTAGAAAATGGTTTATAAATCTTAAAAAGCAGCTTATGAGGAAATTTTAATAGACTGCTGACATTATGAAGGTTAATCTGGGAGGTCTGTTCATTTTAAAAACTTCTGCTCTCCCCAACAATAGATGGTCTATTAGTTTATCTTGTTTAATATTTCTTTCTGATGTAAACTTTGAGATATTTTATGCACAACAGACTCCAAACTATAGTAACTGTTTGTCAGATTGTTGGAGGGATGGTGTCACTCTTAGACTAGGTTGCTGTGTACCGAAAGATTAAAACAAAATCACTGATAATTTTAAGGAGAATCTGCATCATAGTGTTTGTAAAATGTCCTTAGCATTGAAATTATGCCTTTGGTATCAGGACTGATCCAAAGAGAACTGGAGAGACCTGGGCATCCTTTACTGGTGAATCAGCCACACTGTGAGAGGGCAGATACCAATTTGACACGTGCAACTATGTAATGATGGAAAGATTAAATCCACTGCATGCACTTTCAATTCAACTATTTTGATAATATCTGGAATAGAGGAGACCTTTCTATCCACTGAAAATGGCTCTACAGCGTCGAGACAGAAAGCAACCGCTGGGTGTTAATAAGATGCAGCCAATGATATTTCATTATAGAGTCCGATCATATTGTGTGCAGGATAACATCAAGTAATAAAACCTCCTCAGTCTGAATGAGTTAGCACAGAAATGACTCAAAGATGCACTGCCAGCAAGTTTGCAAATACTTATTCAACAAGATTAACCGCAGAATTACCATGTTTAAGTGGTACGAGGTGAGAGGAGGATAACAGCCGTGCACATGCTGCTGGGCATGGACTGAGTGGCTTTAGGATTCTTACATAATGAGATCAGAATTGGAGACAGTGTGTCCTGATAATTCAATTTTTAAGTTATTAAACCCTCTCTAATTTCCACACACATTTTGCACTTCAAGAGGAACGACAAAAGGAGAGCTAAGAGAACAAACATGTACACAAAATATTTTCCACCAGGCAAATAAAGAACAACAAACAGAAGAGAAAAAAACCTTTCCTCGTCTAACTATGATTCGACAGGAACAGGTGTGCTGTCACTCAAGATGCTCCACAGCCACAAACAAAGTCTACTTTGCACATCATTAGTTTAAACTTAAAATACCTGCAATGAAAACCTTTATTTACATTTTTTTTTTTTTTTTTGCATTTTTCTTCCATACCTCTCGCTTTTCATCTATGGAGCTGCTGCCCTGCAAGACCTGCGAAGACTTCTTCAGTAGAGGCGTAAATATGTTTCTGTCCATGTTCGATCGGTCACTTCTCTTCATCTAAGAAATCAAACTCTGTATGCCCTCTGTGGTTCCGTCGAGCCCAGTAAGACCAGGGCAGGGCAGACCGGTGATGCCTTTCCAGCTCTGGCGCCGGGTTCAGCCCCTTCCGGTACAGAAATTAATGCCAGCTTGCCACCTCTTTGACAGGGTGTCAAAGTTCAAAAGCACCTGCTTCTAGGTCCACAATAAGCAGATTGTTTCTGCTTAAGCCATTTGTTGAAGTTACACACAAAGGAGTTTTCTCAGAAACGTGGAAAATATCCTTGAAACGATTATATTTCTATAGGATATGAGAATAATCTACATTAAACAGCTTCTTGTCTTAGATTTTGAGTCCTTTAAGGTGTTTTTAAGGCTGGACAGTGTTTTAGACATAATTAGTGGATAATGACTGACGTTTGAAGGAAACATTGATTTATAGATCATCTTATTTGCCGATGTAGTTGTAATTGTGTTTTTGGATTAGAGTCTTTAATAGTAAAACGTGCTCTGGATCATGTTTATATGCCGCTTTTTCTAGTATTTGGACCACTTAAAGCGCTTTTACATTAGTTGTTTCATTCACACTTTCACACCACATTCACACATTGATGGTAGAGGCTGCTATGCCAATCAGTTTTTGATGGATCCCATTAGCACACCACTTGGGATCGAAACCCCTATCTTTCCAGTTGGGCAGCGACCGACTCTACCAACTGAGCCACAGCTTTGAATATTTGAATCTTCATGTGCTGTTTACTATTGCATTCCTGAGTAACTTGTAGTTTCTTCAGCATTCAGACTGTTTTTGAATTATTCCGCTGCAACAACACTCAATAACAGAAACGTGACTCTTGTCAGTGAGCGTAGTTGAAATACTGTCCACAGTTTAACCTTGATTATAAACCACTGTGTCATCTGCATACAAAATGATGTTGCATTTTTCTGATATAGCAGACAATTAATCGATGCTGTTGATTTTTTTGTCCTATTTGGATTTTCTTTGGCTTTTAGCTCATTAAACTGCAAAAACAAAATATTTTGATTGGAGAACTGAGAATTGGTCGCTACCGTTCTTGGAGGGGCGAGGATGAGGATTACATAGCGAGCCTCACAGCAGTTTTCTCCCCAGTTCTGTGGCCTCTCCAGACGGGCAATGCAGACATGACGTCTCTGCAGAGTCCTCACAGTGGAGCTGAAATTCAAAGAACATGATTTATTTTGAATCAGTAATGCGGAAATGATTGATTGTACAGCATCCTGTATTGGCAGGTGTGAATTAGATTCCCCAACACTGGAGTCAAAACAAAATTACTTTTTCATGGAAGTTTTTTGGAGTATTTTCGCTGTACAGGCAGGTGAACTCAGTGACTATAAACAAAGGGGCTTCGAACATCCACAGCACTGAGTTTCTGGCTGGGAGACTTAGTCAAAACAGTGTTTTATTTTATCAACATTGTTGCAGATAAACTCACAGAATACAGAGCCAGGACTGCTGATAACGAACTCCAGTGGAAGTAGAAGTCACACCCTGAATGGTGTCGGATAGAAGGTGAACTGTGGGAACATGAAAAAATGCAGTTTTAGGTCAATAACGCTCAAATTTTGACGTGTAAAGATTCACTCCATTTATCTCAGCGTGGTGTAGAGTGTTACATGTTTCACTCACCATCACATTCCTTTCCCCCTGCATCTGTAAATAGAGAGTTCATGATCTCTTCTGTGTCACAGCTCTCATGGCCTTCTTTCATCACATGGCCGAGCATCCGTCTCAGGACCTCATCCAGAGTGGTGGCTTTCTCATCCAAAAGGATGCTCGCCTGAGACAGGAAGGTGTGTAGATCTCTGTGGGCGCGCACTTCATCCTTGAAGTTCATCGGCTTCACATACTAGAGAGAAAAGAGCGAGGGAAATTTGATTCATATTGTGAAAGTGGGGTTAAATTTACTGTTTTTGCTTATAGTGTATGCCATGATGTTTCATTTATGATAACTTCCTACAAGCCTACTGTTTACCCTATTGAATATTTTCCAACATGGGTGGAAATTTGGAAATTGGAGAAGGTCACAAGCCTCAGGATTACAAGTTTATTTGATAATTTGAGCCAAGGAGGTGAAATATAACTGTTTAGATCGCTTCCTGACACGCGTTCATTAAAACAAATTAAAATAAACGCACCTTTAATCAAGTGACAGCCCTTACAGCCAATAGGGAGGTATAACATAAACAGGATCACCAGTAGTGAAGTAGGGCTCCTGTGACGACTTTGTGCAGTGTCAGCAGCTACAGATATGCTGGAAACTATCCAGAGTCTCATTAAAACGGGTTTCATAACCAAATTACTCTGCGTGTAGTCTCGTCTTTGCAGGACCGCGGCACCTGCTAATCTGAAGTCTAGGCAGTGTGTTTTTGTGCATGGACCAAAAAACACACCATATTTGTGATTTCAAGACGGCAAAGAAAGTTCGCAGAAGATAAGTGATCTGTTACTGCTGAGAAAGAGTCATGTGATCACAGTTAAATCATGATGTAAATATATTTGTCATAAATCTGTTTATGACTGAGAGCGACACATAGGTCAAAGAGACGTAAAATGTGATTCCATGTGGCAACTTAGTTAGTGGTTAAAGAAAATAGCATGTGAAATAACCCCGTTACCAGGGTTAAGTGTAGAAAATTAAATGCTAATGAGTAAAGCTTCCAAAAGAGAGAGCAGAAGATAGCAGAAGATGTCGAGGAAGACCACCTCTCCTGACCCAGAGAAGGGAAGAGGGGGAAGTCTTCTGAATCTTCCAGAAACAAAGTGATAGATGTCTCCAGGCTCGCTACGGTCCAGATCACAGATCATGGGGTGCATTTGGCTTGAACTGTGACCAGAATCTGCCATCATGCAAAGAGATCAGGGCCACTGAGTTTTCATTTCTTTTTTTTTCGACATGTAAAAAAGGAGGAAATGTCAGAAGACTGAGTTTCCAATCAGAAACCTGGGAAGACAGTCACGAGTCTGACTTAAATCCCAGATCTCAGCAAAAACGCCAGATTTCTGAGGAAACGTTTTAGGTCTGTTTAAAAAGTCAGAAACTTGAAAAAGAGTCAGATTTGCTTTGGATACAATCCAAAAGCATGTACAGCTTTTTTAAAATTCATGTTTAAATTCCTCTTGTGAATAAATATGAAAACACTCAAAATACTCGTTCTCTGGTCCCTCTAACTTGACCCTCCTGTTGTCTAAAATACGTCCACCACTGTGAAGAAATACTGCATTAAAAACATAAATACAAAATCATTTCTTACTTTTCTTGTTGTACTCAACAGCCCAAACCCAGGATGGCCCGCATCTGCAATGAAAAGCAACATAAGAATTTAAGATGACACCATGTTTTGCTAAATTAAACAGCAGACTGTCCTTTCATATTTTTTATCTGTCATGTTATTTTTAAAATAACTCGGCTGCAGGATTAATTCTCTTTGGTTTTTAATGAGCTCGCTGCCACTTCATGTTCATGAACTTTGACTCAGTTATTTTAATTTAGGAAATCAGAGCTGGCACACATGGTTTCCTTTTCGCGGATGCTGCGGATCATTTTATGACAATGGAAGTTACAAGAATAGAAAGTAAGCTGATAGAAAACCAAAATCTTTTATGTTCGTCCTCTTGAACCAGTGTTGACTTTTAAAGTGACGATAACCAAAAACAGGATTGTATATTATAATCAAAGATCACTGGTTTAAAGAGATACCTGGAGCGCCGATCTGGACCTGGTTGTCATAAATATGATCCTTGGTAGGGATAGGGGAGTCCCTCTCGTGGTCTTCCTGTCCTCCATCCTTTAGCTCTGTGGATGAAACAGAAATAATAACAGAGTAATATGAGCTTTACTGCTTACATCTTATACAGCTTATTTATTTTATTACTTTTTATAGCAGCTAAATAAAACCGCTGTAAATAAGGCTTATTATCAAACAATCTGATCAAGCTGTTCTCTTTATGGGAGGTAAAGATGCTGCCCACAGTATCAGCGTGTCCTGTAAGGCACAATTTAATTTCTCCTCCCTCCACTTTGCCATCTGTTGACAAGCACACAACAAGAGGGAGACAGAGTGACCCAATAAAAAGTCCCCCTCAAACCAGACATGCAGCAGTATAACAATAGCAGCTCCCTTGTAAATTCCTTAATTGTACAGAAGATAAAAACAGAACCTCGAATCAAAGTGTCGTACAGAGAGGAAGAGGAAGAGGAAGACACGGCTGCAGAATTAAGGAATTAACCTTAACCCTTGGTGGGCACGCCTTTGAGCGATGATTATTCCCTCTTCTCATGGTTGACTCAGAGATCATCTGCCTCGTTATTTGCCCATTAATTAACCTCACAACACATCAGCGCGGGGACAGGCTGTGCTCACCAGCATGTGAAATGGGTCATCAGTGAGCAGCCAGAAGCATTTGCATTAGCATGAATAAGTACTGCAATAAATTTACATGTAAAATACTGCAGTTTTATTCTCCAGTATCCTGAAGGAATAGACCTGAATAATGTTCTCTGTAATTGTACAATCGTTGACAGCAAGTACATGAAGGAGCAGGACCCCTGCTGAGAAAAACTCTTCACGTAACTATGATGAGTGTTGCTGCAGATACTCACCCATGCCATTGAATGCGTATCCGTTCTTGGACCCCTCTGTGGATGCAGTATCTGGAGGAGAAAAGACGGATATGAAATCGACTGTTTCATTAAGTATTTTAAATTAAAACAGTTCATCACTGTTTCTATTGAGCTGGGACTTTCCCCTACTTTATAGAAAGATTAGTCATTAAAGACAAGAACATTTAGGAGCCGCAGAATGAGCTTTGAGGGACGCATTAGCAGATGGAAAGATAGGCGGAGAGATGGATGGAAAGAGTATATTATCATGAATCCCAGATAAGGCAGGGCGATGTAAGAAAAAAGTTTATCAAGATATATTCTTTTCATACCAGTTGATATCGATATATGTCATGATATAAAAAATTCATTTGTCAATCTTAAGTGTTCCCTGTGCTTATTGGTAGCATGTCTCACAGATGCAATACAATAAGCTTCTGCATCTGTGAGGTCTTTGTGTCTCTTTGACGTTTTGTTGTAAGGCGTTGCTCTAGAGAAAGTGGACTAAATGGTCGGCTGTTTCGGCTGCACGGGCGCCACGGGCTCCTGGCTTCACTCAGGGTTTGTATTCCTCGACTTTAGGAGAACATGTACTCGACATAATTTGCAGTGCACATGACCCTGCTTCATGTCTGACCTCAAAAAAAACAAAATACCTCCACACCACCACCGTTTTCTTGTCAGTGTTGTCGAAGATGTCGTCATCTGTTGAGCCTTCATCTGCATTTCTGCCGCAGGTAGCACTCATTGTCTTTTTTTCTCACCAACAGTGCTGACAGCTTGACCTGTTAGAGTGCTATGGTTGCATGTAGCTGCAGCCTGCCACTAGCCAGTTGTTTGCTGTTTAGTTCTAATTCAGCACACGATTGGTTGGAGCATCTCCTCTTCTCATTGGCTATTTGTATAGTCTACCAAAACAGGGCAGAATGCTCACTATCGAAAAGCATATTGACCATGTTTTATATCAATATCGAGGGAAATTATTTTTCGGTATATATCGTTTTTGTTTTATCGCCCAGCCCTAATCCCAGAAGTCAGTCACAGCAGAGAGTAACATGACACAAATACAATCCTATCTATGAGTAGTTAAAAACACATGTAAATATAGTTAATATATATTTCAAATTTCCTCTCAGGGATAAATAAATAAAGTTCTTCTTATATTCAGACAAATAGAGTAGATTTGAATCTGCAAACAGGGGCATAACACCAAATTCTGGGCCCTGTACACTCTCAATATCAGTGGGCCCCTATCCATGCTGGAGGCGCATGAGCAAAAAAAATATCTGGGTTTTCAAGGGCCCCTCTTCCTAGTCAGGTCCACTTTTCCCCCCACCACCACGCCCATGCAAACAAAGAAGCACCCCATGCACAGAGGTTATAGTCTCAACAGTGGACAACTCAGATTTGGTCCACTCTTATCCAGTGTCCCATCCTCTCAATAAAAGTTAGGGAAATAGAACAGACACCATCACATCGCACATATTGCACATATCCTAAAAGTTGTAGTGCAGATGTACAAAAGCAAAGTTTTTGGGGTACAGTAGTAATTGGTCTGGATTTGATGTGCAGATGCGTTTTTCAGTCTACTCAAGGCAGATTAGACCACCTGTGTCTTTCTCTGAAACAGCAGGGGTGCATACGTCTGTTTCTGGGGTTGTTTTTGAGACTGCTCAGCATGTTGTAAAGAGAGTAGCAGTAATCATCCATAATATTCAATCATTTGTTGACTATTCTGGCCTCAACAACCTCCTTTAGCCTGACCTCCTGCAGGTCCACAACAGGCCACACCAGTTTTATCTGTTCATTTATTCTGCAAAGTTGGACTAAGCAGATTTAAAGTATCACAACTTTTCAAGAATATCCATTTTGTCAAGGTCCTATGCACATTAAAAAAGGTAAATAAGGGCAAAGAGAAAACACTACAACACATAAAAAACAAGCTGTAATCACCTGCAGGTTTCTGCCTTGCAAATATTGAAAAAAAACAAAACAGCCCCCTTAAATTGCACCTTAAGACAAATTTCATGGACAGAAATTTGAAAAAACAAAGGCTGATTATAAAGAAACATTTCAGCTCATTGAACCTTGCCTGTTTGCCTTGAAAGCTTTCAAAGAAATGGAGCAAATTTCATGCTGTAAGAACAGAATAGGGGAGAAGGTGATCTCAGTTACAGCAGTGTTTAAAAAGACAATGAAACACAATCACAAGCTGAGACAGCGCAAGGAGACACCTTTGCATTCAGTTACAACAAAAACCTGCCTCCAGCTGTGCCTGCTGTTTGTGTGGGCGGTCATGTGTCTGTGAGACGCTGCTTCAGCTCTACAGATGAGCCTCTCCTTGCCAGAGGCAGAGATTGGCTCCAGGGACTCCCCAGTAAGGCCGTATCTCAAAGCATTAGATTAGACCGAACATTCCCAGGCCTCCTGCACAACACAGGAGTCTGCGCAGACTGCCGGGAGCCTCACGGCTTACACAACAAACTGTTTGGACCAAGTGTGGAGGATGATTTAGTCTGTCTGATCGAGACCTTTACTGTCTTGTCTAATGAAGATAAAGGTCAAGTTTGTTGATGGCTCCTTTGACTTTACCTTAGCAGCACCATCACCAACAGAGACAAACTACCAGTGAGTAGAATTTAACACGCTGTTCTCATCAGTGACGACAGAAAAGTCAGAGTGAGCTCAGAAACAAATCCGTGCTTTGGAGTAAAAAAATCGACAGCACAATTTTCAGTAACACTTTACAATAACCATAACTTATAAGTGGTAAATACACCATTTATAAATGGTAAGCAAATGGTTTATTAATGTTTAATCATTATTTATAAATAGCATATAGACCATTTAATAAATTATAAATTTTACGATTTAAAAAACCTAACCCTAACTTTACAATAACCATCTAAGTAATGTTTGTAGGTGGTTTATAAACCAAATATTAACCATTTACAAAGTGCTACTGACACACATTTTAATCCAGATGTTATACAACCAATATTTAAACCCTATATGAACCTTGAATAAATATTCTATTAATAATTAATGAAAATTATTCATCATAATTTCATTGCTTGTTCATGGTAAAGTATTAACTTACATTAATAAACGATCTATTTGCCATTTATAATTAGTCTATATGCTGTTTTTAAATGATGATTAAAAATAAATAAATTATCTATTTGCCATTTATAAATCATGGTTATTGTAAACTGTTACCCAATTTTCTCCATTGATTTAGGACAGACTACTTCAGCGAATGTTGTTTTGATAGGTTGTGTCTGGTGGTGTCTACAGGTCTGAGGCTTCTGATGGTTATCATGCTCGTGTGTTTCCTGATTTCCTGTTTGCAAGCCGCCTGACTTCCTCGCGCTTAATCCCCTAAGTGTGAGACAAACCTTTTATCCACAAAGGGGCGCAACAACTTGGACGCCGACTCTATCCCGAAAATAGTCTGCTTTGTGACCCGCTGACCCTGTTTGTGAACATGTGCAAAACAGGATTTGATGTGGCTGTTTTCTTTATAGTTTCATCGAGTTTTATGGGCAAATCCATGAGTTTGTAATTATTACATTAACCACAAACTACTCTGAAGAACAAAGGCCAGAAATGTCACTGAATCTAAATATACTGTGTCTGTGCCTTTACTCCTTTTAACCATTTTTTAAAATTCTGCATTTCTGAAAATGAACAATTTGAAAACTTAGGTAACATCTTTAAAATATATTCCTTCAGCCCTAAACTATATCAGATTCTACATTGCGCTTGTTCAGTGCCACAGATCTTCCCCAGTCTTGGAGGTCCGCTGAAGTTTGCCATGGTTAGTAGTGCAACACAACGTGCATTATTAACCCACTTTGGGAACCACTGCTGTAATGTAACATCTGCACCTTTTTTTTACCTCCACAACAAATGCACATGTAGCAAGAACCACAGCTTTACGGCAGAAGTTTGATGGCGCTTACCATAGATGCAGTTCTCTTATGAATGTAATACCACATATTTGGTCCCAAGGGGTCACCAGAGTCCACACAATTCTCGTAGGTCTGAGGTTTGAGGTTTTTACATTTACTGCTTGAGTTGGCAAATGATTTTGGGGATTAGCTGCAAAACTGATGTTATTTATATCAAGGACTTAAAGACATAAGCTCCTCACCTTTAGCCCTGACTTCACAAAGTCATGCAGAGTTTCATAGCCGTTCAGCTGGAGGCCAACAGTCTCGCTCTTTAACTGCGTCAGAATTTGAACAGAATATGTAAAATGACTCAAGGCAGAGCCGCCCGAGTTTAATTATCAGCATCAGACAATGTAGATAAGAAATTATTCATGATTTATTTGAATAAAATGTGGCTGGTATTTTCAGACGGTATAATCAAACACTGTTTTATCTGTCCTATTCTCTTAATTTTTCATCTCAAGTTTTTATTGGCCTGCTTTAAAATGTGAGTGATTTGATGTCTAATTCCCCTATCTGGCGAGACGAGCGACGCAAACTTGCAGCCTGAGGCATATTAAATAATCCCTGCCAGCCTGCTATCTGTGGGGACGAGGGTGTCCTTGAGCGAGAGGAAACAGAAGCAACTTTGTTGGGTCTCTGGGAACAAGTACACCAAACTACAAAGCTGAAAACTTGAGCTGAACTTTACAAGGTTAAACCATCAAGAACGAACAGACATGATATTCTCAAATTAATAAAGGTCAGTGCTTTTTAATGTTTCAAGACGTAATAGATCTAGAATTTAACTCTTAGGGGTTAATCAACCTTATCAGGGCTAAAGCAGTCCATAGTGTGTTCAAGCAGCTCTACCATGAACAGTGTGTACTCTGTGGGCCACAATGTACACATTAAATATTGAATTTAAGTCGATAACAGGAAAGAGGAACTACAGCTCATTCCACTTCAACACCTCAAAAACCGACGATACAGACAAGCTGATGTGTATTTATCCAGCATACTGTGTATATCCAGTCGACCAACAGTAATTTAAGTCACACAAGTCATACTTTACAAAGCAGGCATGTGGACCGGGGGAGGGTTTCTCAGTCAGACATCAAAGATGTGAAGTGGCAGCAACAGCACAGACCAAATGTTTGATTTAAGACAGCGAGTATAGGCCGAAAACCACAACTCTGATATCTCATTCAAGGAAAAAAGGATAACCAGTGGTTTCAATTCTTGATCGATACCTGAAATGTAGCAAAGACTTCACTGTAACAAGATTAGGCCTTAAGTGTAGAGTGTGGTCAGATTAGCCAGATTAGAATGTCATACATTTTTCTGTTAATCTTGTTAATCCATGACCTTATGCAAGTCAAATTAAACTATTTTAACCCATGTATGACACACAGAGAAAAAAAAACAATACAAAAAGAGTCAAAGAGATACAACTTTTCGTTTTATTTCTCAAAAAAAAGTTAATTTCTTGGTCTTAAAATGTCATTAAAGCTTCATAATCCAACTTTCTGTTATTTTTTTTAGTGTTTTAATCAACTGAGAAAAAGAAAACAGGGATCCTCAAGTTAAAAAAAACAACATATGTTATTGTTTTTGATTTTTGCATCTGTTTTTTTTTCTATACGCCTCAGCCCTAAAGCATGACAGCAGTTTTCAAGTGTTTTTCTCATGAGATGTTTGTTCCATCCCACTTTTTCAATGAATATGAGCTTCTCTTAAACAATCGTCCTCTGTTGTTGTACTGCCGGGGAGCTCAAACAGAAGCTCAACATTATCTATAGGTCAGCTGTAAAAACCTCCCATGACAGTAAAGTCTCTGATATCATTTATTGCCAGGTTGTAAATATTGACCCATATCTTTAGCTTTTGACTCTCTCGCCCTGCTGGCAATAAAAAAAGACATCATGCACAAATTCTGTGTTTTTTCTATTTAGGGAACAAAGAAAAACTCTCACCCGGCAGCAAAATCGAGAATAAAGTAATGACTGTACTTTGAAAATGAAAGCCAGCAGTATATTCAGCATGACCGCGTGTTTTTCATCAACACCAGAGGCTCGAATCAGCAGACAGACACTCTGTAAAGAAGTTTCCTCCACGTGTTTGACACAGTTGGCTCAGGTTGCACCACGAAAGACCTTCTCACCCCACTCCACCCCAGTAAAACTTACCAGATGGCACATAAAGCAGGACCTTTCTGGTGTCCATGTTCTCCAGGGTTGGTTGTGTTTTTTTTCTTTTTTAAGGTTAGATGCTCTCCAAAAGGTCAACCCATAATCATTTTCTCTGCTCCCAAACACCCTGCACCCACTGCTGTTCTCCTCTCAGTGTCTCTCCTACACACACCCAAACACACATGTGGAGGTGAAGGTACCTTCCTGTGTCTCCTCCTGCAGCACATGGGTTTGAAAGAGGAAGTGGGAGGGGAGAGAGAGGAGACGTGGGGGTGAGAGGGATGTTTGTTTCTGCTGGGTCCTTGTGCCTATGTGAACTAGAGCTGAAGTAGCTTTAGATTAGTGTGGGTATGAGGAGGAGGGTTTTTGTATTTTTCTGTTGGAGGTTTCTGACTCCGATTAATCAATTTATTACAAATTCTTATTTCAAACTAATTTTAAAATCTTTTTTTTACTTAATCACCAAACAACTGTCCTGTCCATAGTATACATAACCCATACACATAACCTTTTATGTGGATTAGAGTTTTAGACTTCACATGAGAAGTGGACAGAGACAGTGTCACTTATAGACATTCAGAGCTTTGAGTTTGACATACACACTGTTGCCATTCAAGTCAACAGGTCAAGTTCAGCGCCTCAGATTATTTTTGGTGACACTTCAGACAGCTAGCAGCTATTTTCTATTGCTCTTAAAGAGACCACAACCCAAACTATCCATACTCATCACCTGTATATCATTTGAATGGGTTAGGGTTGATTTAGAAATAAATTTCAACGACTGATACAGTTTTTCGACATGTTTAGTTTGGTTGTTAAGGATGTTAGCGGCTGAAATCAAGGACTGGCTTTGATTTTGGGGCCAGAGTTAAGGGGTCGATTGAGGATCTGCAGCTTGAAGTCCATTTTTTCGCTGCTTCAGCTCCACATCAATTCCTTTCTTTTCTTCCATTTTGTGTTACCTGATTCTTTTTACGTTTTGTTGGTACAACTTCAGGATCTTGATACTCTCTTTAGCAGTTAAAATACCTTTATGGCATAATTTTTTCAACCTTGTGACAAACTTTTGACGTGTTTTGGCGTTAAGTCTTCATCAGTAAGTCAAACAGATGTTAGGGAAGCGTTAGACCCCTTTAAAGTGGTGGTCCACAGGGTGTCAGTTTGGCTCTGCTGCTGAATTTCACACTCCATGTAAAGAGGTCATGGCCGTCACAGCAAGAGGTCTCGATTTGAATCCAACCTGTGGCCCTGTTACATATGCCATGCCATACTGTCTCCTACCAGTTTCCATCTCTATCTGTTGCTCCATCTCAAGCTGAAATGCCTCAAAATAACTAGAAAAAATAGTATCCCAACAACAGGAGATTTTCACTTGGACCTAGCTTTAGCCTACACACATAGAATGTGGATCTACAGTTTATACACACATTAGTCTACAGAACTTGATGTTAACAATAATGGCCAATAGTAAATACAAATAACACTGAATCACACTGTAAGACAATTTAAAGGAGATTAAACATCAAACTCCATTCAGAAATGAATCAAAAACACAAAAACAGGTCATCATTTATGCCAAGTTGTTCAGCAGCCTGTAACTTCTGTTAATGTTACGCAACTCTAGATCACGTCCTGCCACTGCGGTCAACACTTCCTGTTCTGATTGCATAGTAGTGTTTTTGTTTATCTATTTTGCAAGCATATTTTGCTTCCTCTGTTGTAAATATTTGGCAGCCTTACAAAAATCTCAACTATTAATTTGTTAAAACTATACCAGTATTTATTATATACATAAAAAACACAATTTTCCCTGTAAAGACAGAAATTTACACCAACCAGACAATAGAGGTACTACAAACAAGATAAAAGTACAAAATTGTAATTAAATCCTCAAATCAAATGTAATATTGGCTCCACATCTATCTGTGTAACCTCAGCGACCTTAAAAGTCAGACAGTTTTACTAATGAGGCTGAAGAGAAGGAGAAACTGTGACTCAGCGATCACTGATTTATGCAGACTTTGATGTTTTTGAGTGACTTTCCCTCCAGATGAGTGCTCATTTCAGACCTAAGGGACAAACTCTGCTTATTTCTTTTTGGCTGGTTTGCATGTTGTATGGATTATAATGCTATGTTTTTATCTGCCAGAATTTGATGTCAATGTTATGAGCAAAATAAAAAACAGAAATGACCATTGGAAGAGTGAAAGATTCCCCCTAGGAACCATTTTGCAACCAAATTTGGAAAAAGTTGAAGTTGCTGTGTTTCTTTCATTGAATCCCAAATTGCATGATGTAAATATACACATTAAACCTGCTTAAGTAACAAGCTTGTAAAACTTTACAGCCTCACTTTGATTACCAGAAAAATTAAATACATGGCAGAGCTTCAGGGTTTAATTGGTTTATACTGGGAAGCTTGAAAAACCAACAACAAGAAGCGAGCCTACAGAGACTTTTTCACATGTTAATTTTAGGGGGTAAGGAAACAGGCACTCTGGTTTAACCACCAGCTTCAGTCAATAACTCACCATGATACCAGAGACAAAAGAACAAACTGAAGGTACGACTGTTCCTCAGTTATCCACAAGAGGGCAGCGCAGGCCAGTGTTCAAAACAGAGCCCAACTGTTGAAGATTTACAGTTTTTCTTATCCACTTCAGCTCAGCTCTGAATTATTCTCAAATTTCAAAACAGTAAACTCAGATCTCAAAACTGTAAGTTTGTCGTTCAAAAGAAAAAGATCAAAATGTCTTTATTTGTTTAAGTTAATCGAAGTGTTGTGGTCCACGTGGGCAAAACAGCAAGCACAAACATCTATTAATCTGTTGAAAAAACTCATTTGTTTATGAAGCTTCTTGGAAATCTGCTTCAATAAATTGACTAAAGTCCTGCCAGACAAGAGATGGACAAGAAATCACAATCAGTCAATCAAAAACATGTTTGAAAGCCTCTTGAGATAAAGCCAGTGCTTTTAGCACACAGGTGAAGAAAAAAAGACCATCAACCGCAGGATCGGATAAATCATGGCATGAATGCTTCATGGGAGGAGATCACAAGGGATCAGTGCAGAGGATGGGGGAATTCAAGGGAAAAAATCAGATGTGATATTGACAAAAGCTCTGGCCAGACAGACGAAACCTGCAGGATCTCTACAAAGATGAGAGCTGATAGTGTGATGTAGCCTGACGTTAAGAGGGTTCGAAAACAAAGGGTTTTGTTTGACTGCCATTGTTGTATGTATTTTTGTTTTGTTCTGTTTTGTTTTGGATTTATTCCTTTTACAAGGATGTACTTTTGTGACAGTTTAATCATATTATGTTTTCATATCACTGTGAGAAAACATCTCAACATGCATTTACGGTTTAGAGAAGGTTAAGACTTTTCTCAAAATGAGAAAAACTAACAAATTAAGTATAATTGTGTTTATATTAGATTTACCGAATGTTTTTATATTACTGAAGGGAATGAAACATTACTTAGACAGAGTTTGATGGGCCATACTAGTTTTAGTTTGAAGACTGCTGGTTGGGGGACAACATCCCAACTTTAGTAGCATTTGGGTTTTACCACTCTACTCTGCTTCAATAAGAAATATTAGTGAAGTGAATTGAGTATATTTTATGTAAAGTTTCATGTAATTCTATACTGCAGAATGTAAATGTAGAAAAACCTAATTAAAGGTCATTTTTAATGACCAAAACCAGGATGAAAACCATTTAACTATTTTAAAGAAAATAAGCACCTATGTCCATTTTCCCGGTGCACTTTTGCAGAGTTTTTGAAGACAGAGCCTTACGTTATTATATTTTGTTTTTCTGTAGGCACACATACTACAATCAGATTTGAAACTCACTCGACACACTTTTTAAAAAATGAAACAAATGCAGAGTCAAGAACTGGGTGGAGAAGAAGACAACATGTTGTAAACTAATAAGCACGGACTATACAGAACTTTCCCACAAACTTGTAAAAATCCTAATAAAAAAGTCAGGCTGACATCCCTGGTAAAAGCACCCATTGACCTCAGATCCCTGAGTCCTCACCCATATGTACATTTATGTTGATAGATTGCATATAGCTGGACACTCATCACTGCCATAGCAATAAGTCAAACAGTGACCACAGTACTTCAAACTGAGACACAGGGAAAGCAATAAAATGCTGCATTAATAAACTAATGTTCTCTATTCTGAGCTTCATGCAAAAGCTCTGGGAAACATTTGTGAAACATTAATCAGTCAGTGAGCGCCTGAAGGGAACACACTCATACTCAAGAGCACCTGTGGGAACAGAAACGCTGGAGTGTTATAAAGAAAAGCTACGAACTGAAGCTTATTGATGAACAAATATCACATAAATTTCATAAAAAGGCCTCAGATCAGTGTTGGTCAACTAAGATGATGTACTGAATCAATCTGTTGATGATATTAAACCTACTGAGAGCTATGAATGTGTAACAGAGTGTTTCAGCGAAGCTTATAATGATCCATTCTGCAGTCAAACATTAAATATGTGCACACATGCATGAACATAAGTCATAATTATTCATACTGAAGGGCCAGGAGAGACGTACTGTGGAGTGATTGCATAATAGATTTCACAGCTTAATCTTTCTCCTTAATAAATCTGTTTCCTCAATTCGTAATTTTCCTCTTAATTGAACATCCATAACATGGTCAAGACAGAGCTGCATGCAGGGGAAAAAAAGCATGACAGTGCAACATAAATCCAAATTAATGTTTCCTCTGTGATTGAATTTGTTAACCTCTCCTGTGAGAATTTTTATCTTAATTGATCTGCTGCTATTCAGAGACCTTTGTGATGGTCATTTCCTCTGTAGCCAAGAGCTTTTTTCTGCGATGTACTTTCAACAAGCTTGATGAAAATGAATTAAAATCAGTGCTTCTGTTAGATAACAGGGATGTTGTGTCACCAGACTTATGTCAGATTGTTATTGCCTTTTAAACCTTTTGCTTCAAGGAATATTTGAAGATAGATTTACAAGAAAATTGAGCGTAAACTTGAAGAATAATTTTCTACAGTTTCTATAGTTGCTCAAAAGTAGCTTAAGAACAGAAGTCAAACTGCCGTCGCTTGCTCCTTGAATATAACGCCTCGACAAAGCAAAGAACCAAACTCGTACATCGTCTATGGTGTTGACATAGCTCTGCTTTGACACGCATATATCTCCTACCTTGAGCAAAATGATTCAGAGTGACTCCTGACGTCTTTTCATCTTCCCTTTTGGTTTTCATCTCAAAAGGATTTTTGCAGTCCAGCCAAAAAAAAAAAAAGTTATATTATATTCTTAGAAATGACCCTTCGACTAAAAACAGAGCTTGATGTGGATACTGTTGTTCCTGTTTGCAAGTTGCAGTATGAGTGTTCACACAGGCAGGCCCACAGGTAGATGGGAATGAACGACTACAAATGAATAAC